GGTAACCCAACCCACATTGAATGTTTCCTAAAGGGTAGGATATTCGCCAAGGTGGAGATTTGTAAGGTATGACTCATAAATATACCGGTAAAGAGGATAGGGGATGGAGTGAGCGAAGCGAACATCAACTGTCCTTACAAAGAAAGTCTTGTAGTGGGGGTTACGATTATGTGGGTTGGGGGTGCGCAGTCCCTGCGGTATGGTACAAGGTTAATTTTGTAATTATGTACCAGAGTTTTCTATTATAAATAGAGATGTAACCTAAACCTATGAGACATTGAATAAAATTTTTAGCGCCGCCTAGACACCGAGGACGTAAGTACATTGCCGAACCTCGTTAAAATTCTTGTGTTCTTTCGTTTAATTTTCCCGATTCTTCAACAATATACATGTCAGTTATTTGATTATCCAACTTACCTTATGATGTTTGAGCAAAGGGTTTTAAGCCAGACCTACCGAGAATACTGTACATAAGATTTATAAGTGAGCTCTTTCCGGAACCGGAGAATCCAACCACAAGTATAGTGTTAACACGTGGAATATCTGTATCTTCCTTCTTGATGCCACCAACTGGTACCCAGAAATCACCCGAACGATACCCAAGAAGCTTGTGTCGAAGCTCGTTTAGTCTGGTGCAATTAAAGGCAATCTCTCCAATTCTCTAAACAATCTTAGCCTAGGCGTTAGAATGGAAACGTCAGGAAATTCGAGCTTCAGCTTAGCACATTCATTGAATTTTGCGGACGTTCTCCACCTACAGTATGACATACTACACGATTCCCAGCCGTCTTCATCGGCAAATGATGCTTGACTCTTCATCTCTCTTTTGTATCAAGTTCGTTAATTCAAAGCAGACAATGATGGTTTGCCAATAAGGGTTTAAAGTGTACATTATGAAACAGTGCTTCAAATCAAAATGTGGATTCATACATGTACAATCTGGTACCTTTAATTTTCAATCCTTGTAATTATTTTTACCAAAACATTCTAATGATCATTCATTGACATAGTTCAATGAGAAGCACACTTTTGAAAAACCAACACTCAAATCAGAGGTGTGTGGACTACTAGAACATTAATGTAATGCATCATTTGTTGTCTGATTGAGACACAAACACGAAATATCAAGCTAGCCAGACATGGGATAGCACCAGTAACTTCTATAATAACATATCAGATCAGATTTCTTACCATGAAAGACAAATAACGTCAAAGTTGGTAAAAGAGAGAGATGTTCAATCTCCTTTGGCAGTAAAAGGGTTTGCTTGTGCCTCATGGCCAGCCTGAGATTCCACTACCGTCATCTGGGGTAAGCTCTCATAAAGACATATATGGGCTCTTTAATAAGCTCTCTCCTTTTTTGCAATATAAAACCAATCAGATACTTGCCCTGTTTCCTATTCATCTTCCACCTGCCTTACCTTTCTTTCCTCTCCAGAACTCTTACTGTCATTGAGAAAGGGAAGACATCAAAATGGCAACTACCAATGCTGATCAGACCCAGACTTACAACACCCAAGAGAATCCCATTGAGCGATCAGTATCGGCCCAGGATTCGGATAAGTTCCACTTCAGCAAAGCACTTGCACATAGAGCAGTTTACGGTTGGAGCAGCCGTCGCGGTACCGGAAAACAGGAAGGCTAGAGGCAACGACGCTAGAGCGTTACCGAGTAGGCTAAGTAAGGATTCGTCGACTGATGATGATTCTGAGAACTAGCTAGGTTGATAGAATGCTGCTGTGTTCCATATTAGATGTAATGCAGCTCTAAGTTCGATGCTAAAGTTTCATTTTGTGCCCATGAAAGTGCTGATGAACTTGGACTACATTTTATTTCTTTGTTTGTTTTGTGAAGCTAAAAGTAGGGTGCTGCAACATTTACAAACTCTAGTTCTTGGTGAAAAGCTAATGATTTAATAGTTCTCTCTCATTAAGATAAAGATTGGTATATGAAAAAAGATTGAAACTTGATCCAGCAATCCATATTAACATAACAAAGTGATGCGTAGAATAATCTGCAGAAAGAGGAAGGAAAAAAGATATATGAAGGAAGTTATTAAAGCTGCGAGAGGAGGTTAGGAGTTTGTTCTGTCCTAGTGCTAGCTGGGCTCAGATTAGAGGAAGTTGGATTTGGGAGAACATTCGGATTAAGAAGGATAAGGTTAGCTGGCATCGCCTTATTTGGTTTCCTGCTCATATTCATAAATTTTCCATTGTTTCTTGGATGGCCTTTCTTGACAGATTGCCTACCAAGGACAGACTTGTTCGTTTTGGTATTATTACTGATGGTGTTTGCGGTTTGTGTGGCATTGGGGTGGAATCTTGGAACTACCTCTTTTTGGATTGTTTCTATGCGAGGGATGTTTGAGGTGCTGTTTTGCACTCTTGTGGTTTGAGACAGGTCCTACTTTGTTGGGAGGACACTGGAGGTAACCAATTTAAAGGGCAAGTCTCTTTTGGTGCATATTCTTAAATTGGTTTGGACTAGTTTTGTGTATTTCATTTGGGAGGAGCATAATCGGAGGCAATTTAGATGGTTGGCTCATTCGATTGATGAGATTGTTAAATGTATTAAGGAAGCTGTTAGAATTAAATTGTATAGATGTTGCATGAATAGGCTGGGTGGTGTAAATAGGCAATTGTGCATTGAAGGGGTTGATCTAGCTGCTTTGTAAGTGTCAACTGTAGCAGCTTGCCTGCTTTTTGGATGAAATATAATTTTACTTATCCAAAAATATATATATATATATATGAAGGCACCCAAAGCCATAGACAGAAGGGGACCTGCTGGTTTAACATGCTTGGTATGCTTTATGTAATGATGTAGTGACAAAAATATCAGGATCATGTGATTTGTCTTCGAATCTTTGGATAAATGTGTGTAAAGGACCATTCACGATCCCACTAACAACTAGAGTGCAATCCTTGCCGACGAATGTGATACACTGATTGCTCACCAAATGCAGTAATAAACATACGTATCTATCTGCTTAATTTATTTATTTTCATTTTGAAGGGGAAAAGATATACTTTTGTGGACAAAAGCAATGCAGGGTCAGCTTTGATCTCATAATATCTTGAAAAAATATTGAGGGGGCAACCAAGTCGAAATGTGGATATGCACCAAAAAGCAAACCAATGGTGAGCGTTGTTGACCGTTGCCGTTTCGGCTAGTTAATCCACAGCCATTTATGGAACACTTGGTGCTGCTGCATCATTCAACTGCAGACTGCAGTTCCTCAATACAGGTTGTTCATTCAAGTTTATTTCAAGTCATATTTGAAACCCCCCCCCCCCCAAAAAAAAAAAGTTATACCTACTCGAAAATGACAAAAAAAGAGAGATTAAAGTGATCATACAGAGTGCCTATCGTAGGCCATTTATGTTGGTTCAGCATGATTAAAACAGCGCACCCTTTTTAATACTAGGCAATTCTTAACCATTATACTAGATTACACTTACTGTTATAGCTCAACCATAACGATCCAGAAATATTTTTGAAGGGGGCCGGGACGTTCCTGTACACGCAAGTGGCAGGCAACCTTTCTCGTCCACGAGCCAATATTGCTTCAAAACATGTCGATATACATCAACAGTCATAGCATGCCAAAAGTACAGCAAATGTTTTACTTTCTTTTCCTTCCGTGCCATGCTTTGTTTGTCCCTTCCCAATCCCAAAATACCCAATTTTTTTGTAAAGATCAAACAGGATGTAATTTAAACAAAAAAAATAGTTTTCCAAATGTCACCCACAATTAACCCCAAAGATAGCAAAGAGGGATCACATTAAGATAGTGGTGGATCCATAAATTAAAAAATGGGGTTATTTTTTTTATTTTTTTCTTTCAATAAAATGGGTATGTATTTTTTTCTCTTTAATATATTAGACTATATTTAAGAATTTATCTAAAATAATATGTATACACTTGGGGGTTGTTTGATAAAATAAAATGATTAAGTGCTGAATGATTCAATGACCTGAATGATTTAAAGGCTCTGTATGAATTGACTCTGAATGTGACACGTTGTTTGATAATAGTTCTGAATGTACAATCTGAATTATTAATATTTTCATTTTTACCTTCATAATGATTTATTATATTATAAGATATGATTATTTAATAAGACAACATGTGAAAAAATAGGTATTATGATAAAATACCGGGTGCTTAATGATTCAGAATGTACTTTAATGTTGAATCATTCAGCAGTGTTTTGCTATTTCATTCAGTATAGTCTTCATTCAAAGGTGAGAATCAAACACACTGAATGCTGAACAGTTCCATTAAATGCTGAATGGTTCCATTCAACAATAAACAAACTATCCCTTAAACTCGTAAAGGGCCGAGTGTATCCGCCCATTAAGGTGACATCAATGTCAAAATTTTGCCATAAATATATGTATGATTTTTTTCACTCAATCCTCTTTTGTCTGTGTTAATCGTATAGGTAGAAGCTATATAGAAAGAAAATAGCTTGCGACTTTTTGAGCTTTCTTTAACCATTTGTCCTATGACTATATTAGATTAAGGCTTCATCACTGTATACTTTACGGACTTTTGGTGCCAACAAGTCTATGGTTGATTTGTTGTAGCAGCTAGTATATGGCTCGTCGTTTGTGCAGAATTCCTTGAATCAGGAAGTCCTTGGTGGAGGTGTCATCGATGCTAACCTATTTGCAGCATGCTCTATAAAGATCTCAAGCTAAGATTATGAAAGGACCATTCAAACTAAACAGTTGCTCCATGTCTAATCTATTTATCACCAACCTAGTCCGCTGATTGCTTTCTAGAACCTGGTCAATTTTGCATCAAAATATACCATTTCTATTTGGACCTCCTAGGCTATTTCTAATTTTATTGGCATCGTTGCTTGAATTATTACCATATAGCATCAAAATTCTGTACAACAATCATACATACTTTGTCGGTAACAAACGAATCTCGGCTATAAATATAGGACATTTACTTTGATAATCACACTCATAATTGTAGACTCTACTTACTGCATTTTAAATGGCAGAGAGCTCAATCCCAACCGGTTCATATTCGGCTGATATGGCACCAGATAAACAATCATCACTCAAGCTGTTTGGTTTTTCACTTACCGAGCAAGAGCAAGAGCTTTTAGAGAAAGCTGATGATTTCGGAGAAAACAGGAAGTTCGAGTGTCCGTTTTGCCACCGAGTGTTTGCCAATTCTCAAGCATTAGGAGGCCATCAAAATGCGCACAAGAGAGAGCGTCAAAGAGCTAGGCAAGCCCAGTTTCAAAGCTATCAATGGTTCGTAGCAGCTGCGCCCGTTTTAAGCCCCCATGCCGTAAGGTCGATGGCGCCGAGGTTTCCCAGAGAGTTCACCAGAAACAGTGCCGGTAAACTTGTGCCACAACGGCCGGCTGGTTATTGTCCATCACGTCCACTGCTGCTTTCGTTGACTCCTTCTCAGAACCCTCCTCGAATTCACATACCGCAGCCATTGCATTTTACGATGGAAGTGCCGGATTCTAGTGAAGTTCCTAGCAAATTGCCAGAGGGGGAGATAGGCATTGATCTTCATCTTAAGCTCTCCCCTTCCAGATTTTAGATCACATATTTATGTTTATGTATGTATGTACCATGGATATGGAGTTTAATTAATCAAACTTTCGGATTTAGTATTTCTTCTCTGTGTGTTTAAATTTGGTCGTGAAACATCTTCAATAGTTCTAAAGAGTTTGATGTTTCAGAAGCGTCCCGTTGTTTGAGGCATAGGAGTCGGGGGAGATGCTTTCAATTCTTTCTTGCACCTGCAATTGTTCTGACGCCTTGCAATTGTCTGAAATCATTTCAAAATAATAATAATAATAATAATAGTTGCCAGCGCCGGCTTCTTCTCCTCTCTTACACTCTAACGATCTTAAGCTTTAAATGCTTGTTAATTACAATCTTCAATCTTCAAATCAATTGATATTTGACGGTTTAATTATAATTTTAATCCCTCTACTATGCTGGAAGTAGAGATTTATTCTATACGTTTTCATTTTATATAATTTGGCCTCTCTACTTTTTGTAATATTATTACTATGACCACCAAATTGATAATATCATTTTGAATGTTAACATTAAATGCTTAGGTTGTTTTTTTTGGTCAAATTTTGTAATTAGTTTCTATATTTTAATCATCTTTTATTTTTTTAGTTTTTAAAATTTTAATCTTGACCAAAATGATATAGAGATATAACTTATTTATAATATAAAGACTGACAATTTCTTTTTCTACTTAATAAATTTAACGGTTCATGATTGAATTTTTAAATTGTACTATAGTGAATAAATCCATAATTTATACATAGTACATAGACTAATAAAATAATTTTAACCATTTTTTGTTAATTTTATTTGATACACAATTAGGATCATGTAAAAAGAAATTATTTATATTTAACTAATAATAAATTTATTTATTATTTGAATGCTTGAAATTATTTTCTTTAAAGATCTACATCATTTTTTTAACATATAATATATAGCTTAATCAGTTTAAACCAAATGCTAACCATTGATGACAACAAGTTTATCTCTTCGATCATTGGTGGTTTACGCCTAATTTAGACAGAGAGTCGTAGTCAGTGAGAGTACTATTATTGATCAATACTTAGATGAAGAAGAGAATGTGTCATTTTGAGAAAGGAGATTGCATATGTGTTTAGAAAGGGTTGATCGTGCTTGTGACCGGTTCATCATTCTCTCCTATTTTTAATTGAGATATTTATAATGATATTTAGTATGTGTCAATCATAGAATCGTTATGACTATTTGTAGACTAACAATTATAACTATCACTTGGACTTGTAAGAAGTTTGTCTACAGACTAATTAATTAGAAGTCTTTATTTGGAGAAAATAGGTTAATTAAAGACTCTGATAGATGAATAGACCCAAAAATCTTAACTGATAAAGAGAGCAAACATCATTGACTTAGATATGAAGGTTTGCAGAGACTATTCCGGAGGCATAACACTTAACGCTATGAAAGTAAAGAGATGAAATTAAAGTTTAAATTTTAGTACAGTAAAGGGAGTAGTAGAGCATATTTGAGAAGATTGTGAGCTGTGTGGGACCTGACAGTTTGGAACAGGTGGCACTACCATTGTGGCTTGTGAAATTGGCTTTGTGATTGTCCCATATAAACAAAAAAAAGGGTTACGCAGCTCATAAAACAATAATAAAGGAAAAGAGACGTGGTTAGATTTGGATAAAGAAAATAAACCGGAGACAGCTAGATTATGTCACGCGAAACCCTGTTCCCCACGAGTTTCCGCTGCCACTTCTTCACACTTCTTACCACAAATCTATAAACAAAAGGCTTAATCCCACATGATATCCTCAAACTTGTTTTCTTCTCCAAACGCTCCAATGAAATTTACATTATACGACTCCTTATATGATATGATACAAATTAATATAAATACCAAACCTTCACTTCTATTCCCCAGAAACCCCAACATCATGAATCCCAATATTTCTCAACACGAAGATTCAACAAAATCATAGTAAAAACAAAGCATTTCCTGGTGTTTTCTCGTACCAAATGGCGAAGATGAAGAAAAGTGATGTAGCTGAAAGAGCATGGAATCTCCTGCGTCTAGCACTGTTATGGGGAAGAAAAGGAGGGGTTTTCAAGATACGGCTGATGATGGAGCTACGATTGGTGCCCAAGTTCCTCAAGGGTCTTGCACATCCGTCCACTCGTAATGATCACCAAATGATCAGCAGCCATTATATGGAACGCCGGCTTTCGTTGGACGACACACCCATTTTTCACCTCAAGATGCACCACCACCGTCCCACTTCCATGAGATTCCTTCTCCCTTGCATTAGCGTTGAGGAAGTCGATTTCGATTACGATTTTGGCGTCGAGGATTATGATAATGGAAGAACGAGTTACTCAACGGGATCCGAGACCGACGTCGAAGATCAAGAAGTGGAAGAGTGTGGATATGAAGGGTGTGATGAGAAAGAAAACGGTCCGTATGTGTGTTCATACGAAACCGAGGATGAAGGGATTGATTCAAAGGCTGAGAAATTCATAGCAAAGTTTTATGAGCAATTAAGGTTACAGAGACAGATTTCTTATTTGTAACACGCTGAAAGAGGCTCAAAAAGTTAGAATCTTTGTCATATGTGTTTTGTTAGTAATCTAACGTTTTGAACAAACAATGTGAAAAGAAGACGAATAGTTTTCAAATATGAAAAGAAATTAATAATAGACTTGTGCGCATTCACCATGTCACTGCATGAGTAAAATAGAAGGGTTCATGTTTCCAGATTGAACAAAATGGAGAAGATAAAAATTTATTCCGAACCGCATATTTTATTAAATATGAAATCTTTAGTCCATACATGAGATGGTTTTATTTTCCAGCGGTTACCTCTTCTCGATAGTGCAATGAGCATTTTATACATTTAGTTCTCCCCAAATGTCCACTCCAAATAATCTAATTTTTCTCTTGATTTCAATTCTGAACTGTTTCCTGGGTCTTTCACCTTCGTCTTCTCGGGGGATTTCGATAAATGTCACTTCATCATCCACTTTAAGTCCTTTCTCCATCGAAAATTGTGGCCAACTAAAATACACGTAATTCCCCAACTCATTTACATGAAATATGCCGACAAAGGTCCACTCTTTCCCCAAACTGTCTTTAACATCAATGGAGAACAGCTCACCTTCTTCATACTCGAAAAAGGCCCCCACAGTGACAAATGAGAAAAGTATCATGCGTTGCTCGACTTCCCTCTGGGTTAATCGACTTGTGAACCTATCCCGAGATTGCCCTTGGAATTCCATGCCTCAAAGGTGCTGTAAATCTTGAAATATAACTTCGGATTAATCTGTGAGGATACTGTGAGAATTAACACTAATACAAAAGCCATTTATATATTCGACGAAGAAATATGCCTTTCTAACGTATAGGTAGATACCACTTCGATAAAGAAACATGCAATTTTTAATCAATGAATAGACTAAACCTCTCCCTCAACTAATGAACAAACAATACTTTTCATATCATTCTTTTAAATTAAACGTCTTGATTCATCAACAAGTGTGTTCATATAGAATTTTGGACGTTTAATTAATCAAATCATAACAGACACTACCCATCTGATATACAGATTCCACATTCTCTTTTTCGATAATCAAAATTTTACTTTATTCCACAGTTTCATTTCCAATGTTTTTTCCGTACAATAAATGTAATTTTACTAATATAAGTCAAATTAGCCAGAAGTCAAAAGATTGTCAATCCATACTTCAATGAAGCATAAATACAAAAGCAAACACCGAATTATACGCTTAAGCACAGACAAACCAATATTATAAGAAGATGATTATGGTAAAATTGAATTTGAGTTACTGAAGTGATCCAGATTTTCTAATAAAAAAATATAGGAACTCAATGTCGTATGATTAAAGTGTGGGGTTAAAATTTAAATTTTAGGATAAACTATGTTAGTACTCACTGAACTTGTAGAGTACCTTCACTTTAGTCACTCAAATAAAAAAAAACTTTCATTAGTCACTGTCGTTATAAAAAAAAATTTATTTCAATCACTCGATCATTAAAATATTAACAACAGCTAACGTGGCATATCTACATGTCAACACCAAAAGAGTCAACATAATCACATGTAAATACAATAAGAGTTAATATAACCACGTGCCATTTTCTTTAATAAATACGTGTCACCATTTTATTAATGAAAAATGAAAAATGCATGGGAGGCTTAAAAATATTGAATCTAAAATCTTTTAAGATTGTGAGAAACACTTAACCACTAGGATAATTAAGGAAATTGTAAACTTTAACAAAATATATGATGCAAGTAAAACTAAGTTTGCTTGAAAATTAAGGGAAATGCTATAGGCTAAATGAGATCAAACCTAGGACCTCTGAATATTGTGTACAAGGTCCAAACCCTTAAGCAAAACATTTTTTGATATATAAACCAATTCATTATATAGTTGATAGTTGATAATATTATATATGTTTATCTAATATGTACAAAAGAGTATATATTTTTTTATAGTTGATAGTGATATATTAAGGGAAAAATGAATTATTTTCTCGTTTATTTAGATGAATAAAATATTTATTTAAACAAAAGATATATAGTATTATTTTACTTTTTAGCCAACATATTAGATAAACGAGGGTATTTTTTTTGTATAACGTGATGAATTCTTTTTTTCCATCTAAGGTCTTGAGGGAATTGTTTTTTTGATCTAGTGTGGTTGTTACGGTACTCGTCAGAAGATGTTCGGACGACACAACATTTTTTAGAAGAAGTCCAGAAGATAAGATATTTTTGACTGAACTGTAACGTTACAAGCTTTCAAGTATATATGTATCAGTTAGGGGGAATACGTCGTGTCGTCTAGATGTCTTCCAAAAGATATTATTGTATAGACGTCTTTTGATCGATATTGTAGTAACCACATTGTCTGAGAAAATAATTTCCTGTACACCCTACGTGGAATTTTTTCCATCACAATATTTGTGTAATTTTTGCGAATAGACGTGAGATTTTTGAGAGTAGGAATTTTTTAAGTTCTAAACTATGTGTATTGTTGTACAAAATTAATGTCTACCAATATCTACATGATGTTGTTGTGCAACTAGTACAGATACTTTAGTATTTAAATCTGAGGATGAAAGGATGTCTCCTATAACCTATAGTTCTGGAAATTCACTCCATTCTGTTAAACCTTTTGTTTGGACTAAATCCACCCCGTAATGTCTACCTACTATCATCAAGTCAAAGTCATCCACAACTGATTGAATGGTCGTCACAGTTTGCATTCCATCATTTGAAACTTGTCCTATATACTTTATGTGACTAACTTCATTTTGCTTAATATCTTTCAATATCTCAGCATCAAGCATTGTGTCCCAGTCCTTGACATTGTCGCGCTATTTTTTAGAAAAGAGATGGATCACCGTCAACTTCACTCTAGGGTCACGGGCCATGCGTTTGGCTAATGTTAAACCCTCTCGGTCATCTTTGCCGCCTATGAAGAGCAAGCCAATGAAGTAGGACGATGACTTGGACGATGATAGTTTTCTTCTACGGTCAACAAGAATCCCTATAGAGCAAGGGGCTCGATCCAGGACGTTGCGATTCAGATTCCTTATCACATTGTTTTCAGCTTCAAAAGATCCTTCAATACACCATTTTCTATGGAATGGAAGAAATATGAAAGATATTTCGTTATCGAGGACCATATTAAAGATATCCTCATGCATGAGTTTTGGCGGAGAGATAGCAGTGAATGCGTTTACTTTGACCAATCCCCAATTGTTTTGCTCATAATGATTGAAAGCAACAATGTTTTCAAAGGAATCCACCGCTCGATTTTCATTGTGAGCTATAAAGATCGGAGAAACACGACCTGCAAGTTGGATGAGGTGAAGGGCGTAGACAAAATTAGGTTCTCTTTTGTAGGGTATGTGATATCAAGCACATCTATCAAGGCTTGGACATGTTCAGGTCTATGGATACATGTGAGAATTCGTAGCTCAGCATCAGGTTTTAAGTGCATCAAGTTTCTTTTCTGTTAGCCTGTATATTTTCTCGAAGTAGGATCGTAAAGGTACTTCACCAGGATTGGGATTATAGTTTCCTTTACGAGAATGAAAAGGGCCAACACACTAAAAGTTTCTTTTGAAATCATCTGGGGAAGAGATGAAAAGAAAATTAGCCCTTATTTATCTCGATTCAACTGAGATTTTAATTCTATACTGACCTTATTGTCTCTGAAACAAGAGAAATACGCGAGCTCCACCCCGCCTTTGCTACACATAATGAGAGCGCAAGCCAACGAGTCCCTCAATGGCATCATGTTCCAAAATGAAGCGACAAAACAGATTAAAAACTTGGCAAGGAATGTCAAAATCGGAAAAATGATAGAAAACTTGCGTGCATACGGATCAGCGACCATCGCAATTGGATCAACTCTCATTGTTGATGTGGTTACGTAGATAGGTAGAAAGACACCATTGACGAAATATTCAAACTTGTCTACCAGGGCAGTTTCTAACGGTGGTCCGTCGGGGACAGCACAACCGAAGAGAAAAACCCCAACCAAAGGAGATTCATTGTGCCGATGGGCAAATATACCACACCATAAAGCTAACATCATGATGATTACAATGTGTGCTCCCTTGATTGGCCTTCCTTCAGGTGTTACTTAATCATCCAAAACATCAACGGACGAAATCCCAAAAAAACAACAACAATGAAAAGAAGCATTATTACTACATGCACTACCGCGAGTGAAGGTGACCCAACCCAAATTTTTACCAAGGAAGTGATGTAAACTAGAAATAAGCTGCCCAAATCACTGATGGTTGCCGATGATAGAGCCAGTCATCCCAGTTCTGAATTTACAATCTTGAGCTCGCTGAGAAGGCACGCTTCGACCGAGAATGCCATTACAGATTCAATTGTTAATTCCCATTAAGTGTTCCATTCTTAAACCGATACTTTCATCAGGTTGTTTGTAGGCCTCGTAAACAATTAAACCAACCACAAAAGGAAATAAAAGGGATACAATGCCTATCACTGTGGCTCTCCTTGTTGTCTTAAATGCCATCTTGAAGTCCATTTTCACTCCCATCACAAACAAAAATATGGCGAAACCGAACGTTGCTGCAGAATCGATAATTCCAATACCTAATTCCTTAGTAAACAATTTTCCATGGACTACTTCCACTCTCCTAAGCATTGCAGGTCCCAACATCATGCCCGCCTAGTCCAAATCAAACAAATAAATCACAGAACAAGTTAGGGTTGCGCTTACTTGACATGCAAGTTAACCCGACAAATACATATACATAGCAGGGAAAGAGGTAATTAATCAACTTACAAACATTTGTGAGGAAAAGAAGGTGACTCCAAGAGGCTTGAGGATGGCATAAATGAGATGTGTGACGGCGAACACCGCGAGCATCTCTATCTCCAGAAGCGGTAACGAATATTTGAAAATTTATGACGGAGAAGCCGAGTTTTCCCATATACCGACAGAATTTACCTTGGGAGGGAAAGTTGTGCAAACTTTGACTGTTTCATTCCTGTAAGGAAGAGGATAGGGTGATGGTGCTTCAACCATGGACGCTGTCGTTGTTTTCTAGATTTTTTTCTTATTCTTTATTTATATATTTTCTGCAAAGAATGAAAATTCTAACTGAAAGTTTAAAGTTAGAACAAATTTCTCAATTTTTGTTTTCTAGCTAAAGCTAACAATTTGTAGTCATTAACGTTAAAAGGTTTTTAAAAATAGAAATTTAGTTGTTTTAATTTATTTTTAGTAGGTTTTTTTTATTAGATTCGGTTTTTGATTCGGTATTTTTTTCCAATACTAATTAGATGGAGGAAATATTTTCTAATAATGTGAATGAAAAAAAAATCATAAAATAATACGGTTCTGAAATTATATGTTTGAATAGGGTATTTGTTATAGTAATTATGGGAGATGCATGGACCACCATGTGACCTTCAAACTTGAATATAGAAGATATCAGGATTGCAATGCGTCTCCCCCAACATCAGTATCAAAGGCAATATAAATCATAAAACCAACATTTTCAAAATATAAGAACATGTCACCCAAAAAAAATACAGCTCGGAAGATAAATACATTACAACAAAACATCACTGTACTAATGTGTTGATCCTCCAAAGGACTGGTTCGGAGTGCCTATACAAAAGTATCTGAAAGAGAGAAGTTTGAGGGAGTGAACTAAAGAGCTCAGTGTGTTCCAACATTGCAGAAATAAAACATATAGTTTAGATTTCAAAATCAGTTCATCAATAAAGTCATGAAACGTCGGTAGAGTTTCCAAAATCAGTTCAGTTCCAAACTGTGAAAATGTCAGTAGTGTTTTTAGCTTAAAAATACAGAATCGCCCTCCAACCAAACACCATATGCAGTTTCTGTAAAACTGCATCCATAAGGACTTACCCTAGGCCCAAAGGGCGTAGGTGCCAACCTAAGGGAGCACCTTGGGTCCATAAGGTCTTACCCTAGCCGAAGCGTAGGTGTCCACCTGAGGGGAGTGCCCTCAGGCCCATAAGAACTTACCCAATACACATAGCAGAGATGCTATCCAAAGGGAGTACCTTAGGGTCCATAAGGTCTTACCACTAGGCCCATTAAGCCCAAGAGTCGCCTTAGGTCCATATGGATTATCAGTTCGATCAGTCTGAACCTATATAAGGAATTACCAGTTCGATCGAAGTTGAACATGCAGAGACTTCATACTAGATCCCAGAGTACCTCGAAGCAAAACATTTTTCAGACAATAAGTAGTGGTAGCAGGAAATCAAAGTTTAGAAATATTTATTTATCAGTAAAAATTGTAACCAGAGAACAAAAATTAGACAATTAGGCTTAAATCTTTGTCAATTAGAAATCAGACTTTAAATCAAATAAACCATACAGAAACAAGTCAAACATATAGTTAAGGTTGTTCATTCGGTTAATTCGGTGGTCGAACCGACCGAACTACCAATAACCGAATTAACAAAACTTTTTTTTCTTTAACGTTAACCGAACTGAACTTTTTTTTCGAAAATATTAATTGAACCGAATAAATTTCGGTTAATTTTCGAATTAGAAAAATTTTAAAATTTTCTAATTTATATAAAAATTAAATATTTTATAATTAAAAAAACAGTTTATAATTAATTTAAATAATATATAATTATAAAATAAAAATTTTATATAAATTTTTTAATTAATTAATATTGATTTAGGTTTAAAAGTTATTGGATCTTAAATTATTAATTGAGTTTTAAATGGTTTGGGCTGAACCCATATGTTATATATAATATTTTTAATATTTTTAATTCATAAAAACAGTTTACAATTAATTTAAAAAATATATAATTAAAAAATAAAAAATTTATATAAATTTTTTAATTAATTAATATTGATTTAGGTTTAAAAGTTATTGGATCTTAAATTATTAATTGGGTTTTAAATGGTTTGAGTTGAGCTCATATGTTATATATAATATATTTAAAATTTAAAATTTTATTTCGGTTAATTCGGTTAATTGACCGATTTCGAACTGAATTAATCATTAACCGAATATCCAAAAAAACCTTAACTGTTCCCCGACCGAACTAATTCGGTGGCCGACCGAATTAACCGAATTAGTTTGGTTCGATCGGTTAAAACCGAATTTTGAACACCCCTACATATAGTCACATTGCAAATCAGATAAAACAATCATGTGTACATGGTATTTTAAACATATATTTAAAACATGTGTATGGCACACAAGGAATACACCTCGCAAAAAGAATCAGTCTGGTAGATCTACTGAGCACTGGCTTCACTACGCTCTTCGACGGTACGAGAACCTAGGTCATAACAGTACATAGTTATTATCAGAGTAGTATACTAAATTGAATATTTAACAGGGTTATAAAATTAAACGAGTATTCACGGGATCTTGCAGACGAGCGGATCGGGAGGAACCAGGTTGAGCAGACGTACGTTCAGGAGATCCACGAGTATCTTAAATATATCATAACATTAATTAGTCATTGACCCTCTAGTTAAATTAGATGCACTGAAATAAATACTTAATTTACATATGCACATTCAGGTTTTTCGAAGGCTTTCGGGTTCGAATTTGGAAAAACGGACTTCATATTCAAACTCAGAACTTCAGAAAATAAAAAAAATATGACTTTTAAACAATTTTGATTTTTTTTTGTCAAAGTCAACTGTCAAAGTCAAAGTTAACGGTCAGGTCAACGGTAATGGGTCATGCCAAATTCAACAATTCGAGTCAAGGTCAACATGTCAGACCGGTTCGAGCCGGTTCAGTCCGGTTGAACCATTTCTAGAAGGTTTTTGGGGCTAGGACGAGCCCCACGCGCACGCGACGATGCATGGTGACGCGTGACGACGACCACGGGTCGGGGGACGATTGTCGAATACTCCACGATCATTCAAACCACAATATCAAGCCATAATAACACCTAATTTTAGCTAAAACCACCGGAAACAAAAGAAAAAGGGTTGAAACATTTATCCACGCCGGTGACGAGGAAAACGACGGCAATGACTCGACTCACCAATTGGGTCTTGACTGGAGTGGCATGGGAAACACAGTGGTGGTGGCGGTGAGGTAAAACAGTGGCTGGAACGACCGGAGTCGAAGCAAAAGCGAGGGAGAAATTTGGTTTTTTGATTGGCTTTTCGAACTCTTGTCCACGGCGGACGACGCGAGGTTTCATCGATTGGGACCCTGAGTTACAATCGGACTGAGACGACGCTTCCAATGGTACAGTCGGTGCACCACGACGTTGGCCGGGGCATAGTGAATCGGTGAAGGGTAGTGGCGGCTAGGGTTAGGAATTGGGGACTTTTGGGGTTTGGGAATTTCACGCAGAGGTTTTTTTTCTTTTTGGTTTTTGGGTATATAACCCTAGTTCAACATTTAAATAAAATATTTATTTCAACAAAACAAAATTGGTGCCTAGCATAAATGGTAGAGGCGTGGGTAGTCTTTCTCGGGGGACATGCGTTTCAATCCTTTCCTATCACCCCAATTTTTTTGTATCAGATAGATTGTGGGGAAATTACAGGACTAGTCCTTAAACTTTCTAAACCTTGGAATATAACCCCATAATTTTCAGAAATTTCTATTTTGGTCCTTTAATTAAATTAATTATATTTTAAAATTAAAATTGGGGTGTGACATAAATTCTGTATATCTTATGTATGTTATGATGATCCAATTCTAAATGAACATCCCAATGTAAATATTTGGTTCCTCACTAATATCATTAATAATGAATTAAGAATTTGATTAAGTCATTCGGAATGTGGTCATCCCTTATTCTCTCTCTAGTAAGATTATCTAATTGGTTATTATTTTATGAGTACTCTACCGTGACTTCGCATTAGTCAAAATCAATTAATTAATAATAATAACACTAAAGAATTTGTTAGGATAAAGCAAATTTGTCATATAAAATCTTTTATCTATTATAGTATGTGAATACTTGTATTTATAAGACATATGGATCTAGTAAATCATAATTTAAGTTTTTGTCTTGAGCAACTCACTTCCTGAGTAACAGTAACAAGGTTTGGATACTAATAATGATATATTTCTATTCAAAATTCCTCGATTAAGTTTATCTGTATGGTAATTTAATCAATACTTGTTATTTTCAGTCCCAACATGTTAAAATTTATCTATTTGATCATTAATATTTGATCATTTATCTCGTAACTCAAGTAATCTTTTTGTAAAAGTCTTAGACTATTTCGTTCATTAATATTTATGTTCTTGTGTTGTTTTGATCCTATGGACAAGATTAAGCTTCTATTACTGAATAGTATACCTTGAGAGAACCATGTTATGTATGATGTATATCTGATATAGGCCCAATTACCTTTGTACTTTATACAATACTTTTATCAGTTGTATACAATACTTGCTCTATCCTAATGATTGAATATAAGTGCATGACGACAAGTTGTACAACATGATTGAAGTTGTATGCTCTGTGAATGCCTGAGTGAGAAAGAGAAGAATAAGCGTATTCATATAGTTTTTTGAGAAAGAAAGAAGAACAAGTTTATTTATGGCTCCTTGATTGATTGCAAATTCATTTTTTTATAATGGTAAATTTTAGTTTTCAAATATATACATTTCAATTTATATTTAGGACTATTAACAAATTAATAATAATAATTAATTAATTTATACACCTCGTCATTAGCATGAGTAAAATATAAAAGAAAAAAAATTATTGAATAAATATTACAGAATGTAATTTAATATAAAAATAAAATTATTTTTGTTTTATATTTTTTAATAAAATAAAATTACGTTTATTTAAGATTAACAAAATTGAAGAAGATAAATATTTATTTGGAACCACATACTTTATTACATAAGAAAAGTTTAGTCATAAATGACATAATTTTATTTTCCTATGGTTCCCCTCTTTGAAAAGCAATGTGCAGTTTAGACATTAAGCTCTCCCCATATGTTCACTCCAAATAACTTGATTTGTCTCTTGATTTCAATTTTGAACATGCTATGAGGCTGTTCATCATCTCCTTGAGGCATTTCTATAATCACCACTTCGTCATTGACCTTGAGACCTTTCTCTATTGAAAACTGTGACCAACTAAAAGACACGTAATTTCCAAATTGTTCGTCTGCATGAGATGTGCCCAGAAATGCCCATTTTTTCCCCAGACTATCTATAACATCGACAGGGAACAATTGTCCTTCTTCAAAATTGAAATAGGCCGCAACAGCAACGAATGGGAACAATATTATGTGTCGGTTCATTTCCATTTGAGTTAATCGCCTAGCGAATCTGGCTCTGCCTTGTCTTACGTTTTCCATATTTGAGAACTGATGTAAAGTTTGATATATAACTTTAGATTGATCTGTAAGATATTATGAGAATAACACTCAAAGTTCTTTATATATTTGACGAAGAAAGATGTCTTTTCAAGGTATAAGTAAATACCACTTGGATGAAAAGACATGCAATTTTTCATCGATGAATAGATGAAATATTCCCTACTAGTGAACAAACACTACTTTTCATCATTATTTTTTTTAAATTAAACGTTGAATCAAACACTCTCCCTGCAGTTTTTCTTTTTCACGTCAAGCCCCAACGATCTTTTTTTTTATTGGAATTTAATACCTCGTACATTAGATCAAGCTGTTATAGGTTTTATTTTTAATTTTTTCTCTGTGTAATATGTTATTAATTAATATACAATTTAAATAAATATTGTTATACTCTCCGCTTATATTCATAGAATGTCTTCAGAGGAGGTGATTCCTCCACAAAAGAGTCATCTGATTAAAAACCCAAATGTCAAGTGAGTGATCTTAGGATAAATGATGATTTTAATTATGTAGGACAAACACCATTGATAAAGTTTCATGTCAATTGTTATCTACTATCAGTCAATCAACACGTGTCAGCACCACTTCTACCCCTAAAAAACTAGTTACCATCGTCAACCCAGAACAACCCCTCAAAACACTGCCAAAACCTCTTTCGGTTTTCTAGCTCCTTCAGTGAACAACCCAATTGTCGCTCAACAATACAATTGTCATGGGCAAACATTTTTTTTTGTCGGGATTTTATGCCCTTGGTGTATATTTCTTGTCGACATTATATCCTTAATAGAATGGTCTCAACCCTAGTTAGGGTTAGGCTAGGTTATGCAGCCCATTCAACCGGCCTACTTTGAGGCCTAGTCAACCAAAACCCATAGATGACCAAAAGCCAATGGGTTTGTTTATGCAGCGTATTGACTTTGGTCAACTTTTTATTGGCCTGTTGCCTTGATCTGTCGGCTCGATTTGACCTAATCTGGTTTAATTCATCATGTTGATTAAGTTGACTTGATTTATTTGACTCAGTTTAATCGACCCAACCCGTTAACTTAATTTGATTAAGTTGAGTCAAGTCAAATCGAGTCAATTTGAGCCTTTGATCGACTTTGAGTTTAACTGTTTATCAGTGTTCACTTTGACTAATGATTAATATTAACTTTTTTTTTTGGTGAACAAAAGAAATAAATTGCAGTAGATTAAGCTTTTGCTGTCAAAATGCAGTCGGCAACTTCCTGTTGAACTAATTCAACCACTTCCCGCGGTGGAACGGAGAATACCTTATGAACCTCTCCTCTTGTTATGACAATCTTAACTAGTCGATCTGCCACCTTATTTGTAGTCTGGCTTATATATGCCTCAAAATAATATTTCAATCTCGGTTAATCAACTCAAAAACGCGGTCAAGAAGTGTAAAAATCGAGTCTCTCTTAGAATTTACATTTAGCATTCGGACAACTTCCAAACTATCTGCTTCCACTATGTTGAGTTTGACTGATTAGTTGGCTTTATACGTAGAATTATCCTGTTCGATTTATTTTATTTGAATATTGTGCATATTTTCCTCTTATTAATATATAACCTTATTTATGTATATTTAAAAATATTCGATTGAGAATCTGTATTAATAAGGAGCATGTCATCATCTCAAATAGAAGGAAAATATTATCAAAGTCCGGTAAATAAGGTGAGTACACCTCAAATCATAAAATATTTTATGGTTTTCATAATTATGATGTTTTACATGTCATGTTTGAACGTTCAGTTAAATATTCAAGTAGAAAATATTTGAGCAATTATGGTTTTCAAATTCTCTTAAAAGAATAAAAGATAGAAAAATAGATAAAAGGGTCTTTTTTTTTATTTTCTCAAGAAAATTATATATATATTCTTTATATGATGTGTCATGTGATAGAATGAGGAAAGAGATGACCCTAACTAATACTATTGAGATCATAATGATTCTATTTTTTAATTTAGTTATCTAATCTTTTTAGAGTATTATTCTTTAGTTACAAGAATTTAGTTGACACTTTTTTTTAGTTATAAGTTTAATATTCACTAAGAATAAATTTTTCATCCAGTAATGGTATAATTGAAGAGTGATTTATATGAATAAAACAAATTGTTTTAGAGGTAAAATGATTCAAGATGTCAGGAATTATTCATTATCTAATAAATATATCAGGGAATAATTAAATAATGGTTTACAAATGAACGTGATAATGATTTTTTAGAAAAGATTATTATCTTGTAATAATATTTTCTATGAATCATATATATTTTTAATCTTTTTAATAAAACCACTATTCAAGTGATTTTAGTGGTTAAATGATTTGTTATTTCTAGAGGTTCGATTTATCAAAAAATATTTTTTTAATAAAAACCCTCATAATTTGAGATTTAAAATAAAGTATATATAAATTTGTGATTTCATTTCGTTAGTTTGAATCAACCAATTAAAAGGAAAAATAATAGCGAGGAATGCGATAGTTTGGAAGTTGTTATTAGTCTAAATGGAAATGTTGCAGTGCCCAACTTGTTGAATTGCTTTCTTCAAAATGAGCCATCCTCAGCTTGAACGTGTTCCCTCAAATATTCTTTCCCTTGCCATCATTGCCTGCAAATGTTTACGAGCAATTAAGTCTGTGAGGGATTTCGTTTCCAGGAAAAAGAAAAACATATTTCCATCAAATGAACAACTAAAAAGAAACCTGTTTTTTCCAATCTGTGAAAACAGCTACAAATGTGAAGAGAATTCCATCTACAGTGGACCCTGTTAACATTCCAATCCAAAGGCCTTTCCCTCTCAATTTAAAGACAAAAGCACATAAAATCCCTGTTGGAATTCCTGCAAGATAATATGCCCCGGCATTTATATAGGCTCCAATGTGCTGCCACCCAATTCCTCTAACAACCCCTGCAATCAAACCAGCTTGGACTGAGAATTCTCATGCAAATATCAGTAAATTTGATTGATTGCATGAATTCTAGAAATGGGAACTGACCACCAAGAACTGCATGGCAGCTATTCACGATTATTGAGAGGCACATTAAGGGAACCATTTTGATTACACCATCTATAACTTCCTTCTCGTTGCTGAAAGCATATCCAAATACGTAGCGGCAGCAGAAGATAATTGTGCTCGCGACGACTGATTCCGCAACAGTAAGAGCCATTATCACCAAAGAAGCTAGTTGAGCGGCCTGTGGATTTCCGGCACCTAACTCGTTCGAAACTCGAGTGCTGGAAATAGTATAGGATGCTAGGAAATTCAACTTTAAACATATATATAAGCATTAGTAAACCTGTAAATCAATAGAAATGGCAAAGGTCAAGAAACCTTGCAGCAGCACTAATCCCCAATGGTATGTAGAAATGCACAGTTACGGTTGTGAAGCTGCAAATTGGATGATAGTCAAATAGTTAGATCCAATTTAATGAAAATGATAATCCTTCTTTTCTGGAATTAAAAACAAAATATAATATTCGAGATCATACCATATAGAAATAATTGATGTTTCAAGCTTTGAATTGGGTAAATTTCCGGATAGTAATATAAGAATCTCAAAAGACCACCATTCTAGACTGTTATTCGTCTCCAAGCAAAGAACATGATTAGGAAATGAAGCAAAATTAATTACTATTATACATATATATGTATGTATATATATATTTTCATGTTAATAAGAAAGAAGGAATAAGTTGCCAAAGCATTAAAGCAGAAGGAATTCCGAAGCGAAATAACTCCTTGATGCAGGCAAAAACGTCCTCCGGAACGAGAATACGAGTTTTCTCGCACGACGATGAGTATCTCATGTATATTCCGAGCAATATCACATTGAGCCAATAGGACAAGCCAATGGCCAAAGCTGCCCCACAATTTCCCAAGCCTGATTTAAATACCAAAACCCAACATATAGGAACATGAAAGCCTAGTGTTACCAATGTGATAAATACGACGGGAAGAATCAAGCTCTGAGCTAGAAAAAATCGAACTTGTGATTGAAGTATGGCATAGGCAAACAATGCTGGTATGAGCCATCTTGCATATCTGCAAGCTTCCATTGCAATTCGAGGATCTTGGCCTATTAGAACTAATAGCTTGTCCATGAAAATCCAAACCAGGCACATCGGGAAACAGATTGGAAGAATAGAGATTATTGCACAGTACGTGTAGCTTCCAACCTTTTGATATTGTTGTGCTCCATAAGCTTGCCCACATAGTGTTTCTAAGCCGCTTGCAAACCCCAACTGCATAACATGTAATACATAGGTATCAATTAACAATGTTTCGAATCCTGCATATATATATTTGTTGCAGCTATGTCACTCAAAATAATATTCATATTGATTAGGATGTCGAGAGGAAGAGAAGTTTACGAGGAGGCTAAAGCCGGAGACATTGCAGAAAGAGGTGGCCATTGCAACACCAGAGAGCGCAAGTTCACCGAGGTGTCCAGCCATCATCAATGATACGACCTGCAGAAGGTACTGTAACAGTGCCATTGCTGCTATGGTCACTGCCATGGAGCTCACCTTCTTAACCTCTTTCACAAGGACAGCTCTTGTTATCATCCCCCATATTCTCCCTTCACTCTTTTGCACTTGCTCTTCATCCATTCTTTTCTGATCTCTTGTATTCTGGTCTCCTAATTTCAAGCAGCAAGTGTTTCCAAGTATTGTATGTCTAGTACTCTAGGTTTCCATCTCCTAGCTTCTTCATCTTGGATTATAATGAATTTAGTTGTTTTTAATAGGTTTAGACTCAGATAGTAAATTATTTTCAAGATAAATGTAATTTCCTTTCTTAAACTTCTGTTTTTGTTTCTTGTGTACGCTTCAAATAGAAGTCCACGTATTAGATCGCATTTATGTAAGTAAGATTAATAATAGTAATAATATGGCCTGTAAATCATGAAATATGATATTAAATTGTATATTTAATTTGATGAAGACAACCTATGCTTCAGTTCAATGAAGACAAATTTGATTGTACATGTGTCAAAGATTTCATCGGAGATATATTTTTTATCGATGTGTTTCTTGAGATTGTCATTCACGTTAGATATGCTTAGACTACCACTAACATAAATCTTATCATAATCTCTCATTCACTTTGTTATGAGACCAACAACCCATTCGTTTGTGAAGCATGGAATCTGAATTAACTTAATTGTTTAGTCTGTTTAACACATGCAACTTCAACATTGAATCCGATTGTGAAGCATGGAATCTGAGTTAACTTAATTGTTTAATATGTATATATTATATATATATATCTTCAAAAACATTTATGAACAGTGATAAATAACCTATATGAAATCTGAATTAACTTGGTCGTTTCCGACTTTCGCATTCCTACTCTAGCTGGCCTCCATATATTAAAAAAACTAGCCTTAAATCTGAATTGATGCTCACAGCTAAGTTAAAATCGGTTAAAATATTAAAACTTCAATTTCGATGCTCGCAACTTGAGCATTGATTATAGCATTGACTCGTATATATTATTTTTTAATTCTAACATGTTTTTTGGTATGTCATGAATCTTGATATTGAATTGTATTAATCTATAGGATAAATTACACGTTTAGTATTTAAATTATCAATTTTAGTACATAATTTTTTATTTTTTTCAAAATTATACCTAATATTTAATTTTTATTTCACTTTAATACCCACCATCAAAATCATATAAAACGACTGTAGACGCGGCAGACGGCAAACCCGTCCGTTAAATTTTTAAATTTCAAATTTCAAATTTCAAAATCCCAATTTCCAAACACCAAACGTTTTAACACTCTAGATTTTTGCTCATTTCTCAGGTTCACAAAGGTCACTTTATAACCTCCCCTTACATGGGGGCAATTGTTACTACCTGCGAGCCTATGACCTATGTGAACCTATGACTCATGCAAACCTTTAGATATACGGAGCATACTCCGTGAATGACCATCAACAAACACATGTCGATCACCTACGACTCCCACGAACACATCTTGCATATGATTATCAACGATCACGTGTTGATACACGTAGTCTCATTCGATGATAAGCCTATCAAATTATCACTTTTTAAGACGTCCAATCAATATCAATATCAAAACAATTCTCAATCAACACCTATCTAGAACATTATAAATAACCATACAATAAATGTACGTACAAACCTCTCTTGAACCTCTCCACAGAAGAATCAAATCAATACTGTCATAACCACCATCTACACCTTCTATGATTATTGTCTACTTTTCCGGTCAACCCATTCATTCTCTTTACAAGAAAAATGCTTATTTATGCGTAATATTTATAAAAGGTTTGGTAAACGGAGTAAAAGATAAAAGAGAAGTCCCAATTTAAATGCTTTCTTTAAAATGAGCCATCCTCAGCTTGAACGTGTTCCCTCAAATATTCTTTCCTTGGCTATCATTGCCTGCAAATATTTACAAGCAATTAAGTCTGTGAAGGATTTCGTTTCCAGGAAAAAGAAAAACATATTTCCATCAAATGAACAATTAAAAAGAAACCTGTTTTTTCCAATTTGTGAAAACAGTTACAAATGTGAAGAGAATTCCATCTACAGTGGATCCTGTTAACATTCCAAGCCAAAGGCCTTTCCCTCTCAATTTAAAAACAAAAGCACATAAAATCCCTGTTGGAATTCCTGCAAGATAATATGCTCCAGCATTTATATAGGCTCCAATGTGCTGCCACCCAATTCCTATAACAACCCCTGCAATCAAACCAGCTTCAACTGAGAATTCTCATGCAAATATCAGTAAATTTGATTGATTATTTTCTCAATATGGGAACTGACCAGCAAGTACTGCATGGTAACTATCCATGATTATTGAGAGGCACATTAAGGGAACCATTTTGATTACACCATCTATAACTTCCTTATCGTTACTGAAAGCATATCCGAAAACGTATCGGCAACAGAAGATAATTGTGCTCGCAACGACTGATTCCACAACTGTAAGAGACATTACCACCAAAGAAGCTAGTTGAGCGGCCTGTGGATTTCCGGCACCTAACTCGTTCGAAACTCGAGTGCTGGAAATGTTATAGGATGTTAGGAAATCCAAATTGAAACATATATATATATATGTAATTGAATAAACTTGTAATTGAATAGAAATGGCAAAGGTCAAGAAACCTTGCAGCAGCACTAATCCCAAATGGTATGTAGAAATGCAGAGTTGCGGTTGTGAAGCTGCAAATTGCATGATTATCAGACAGTTGATCCAATTTAATGAAAAAGTTAAACTACACCTGATATAACTGAATTTTTCCCATTGACTCATTTATATCATTGAACTTTCAATTTAATGAAAAAGGTAAACTGCACCAAATATCATTGAACCCTCTAAAAATCGACCAAATTTTAAAAGTAATCTACCATTTTTTAGATGCTGAAGGTTTTCTTAGATTTACATGATTTTGAGTGTTTGTTTGAAAAGAAACACTAGTTCGAGAAGACAAACAATATACCTCAAAACTCGCCTCATCGAACGGTTATTGAAAGATATCAAAATATTAATACATCAAAATTCTAAATTGATTTTCATCGATTTTGAGTGGGTTTCATGGAAAAACAATCTTAGGAGAAGAAAGAGGAGTGAAATGCAAACGTTTTTATACCAATCTTGCCACAAATACGATTGGTGATAGACAATGATTGATTTCTGACGATGTCGAAAAGTGTAATACCAAAAAAAATAAAATTTTAAAAGTTTAGTGACAAAATCGATATAACTATAAAATTAAGAGCCTAAAACGACGTCGTTTTGGGTATCTATAGTCATCGTCAAAACGATGCAATTTTGGTGTGGAAGGATACGTCATCAACTATTAGCCACGTCATCATCCCATAATTGATTTAAGGACAAAGTGACATAGTTGAATGTAAAATTCAGTGTTATAATTGACAAAATTAAAATTTTAGTGATATAAACGAGTTAGCAGACAAAATTTAATGGTATATGAGATAATTTACCCTAATGAAAATCATAATCCTTTCGTGTCTGGAATTAATAATAAAATATAATATTTGAGATCATACCATACAGTAATAATTGATGTTTCGAGCTTTGAATTGGGCAAATTTCCTGATAGTAATATAAGAATCTCAAAAGACCACCATTCTAGACTGTTATTCGTCTCCAAACAAAGAACACGATTAGGAAATGAACAAAAAATTAATGACAATTATATATATATATATATATATATATGTATGTATGTATGTATGTGTGTGTGTATTTTCCTGTTAATAAGAAAGCAGGAATAAGTTACCAAAGCATTACAGCAGAAGGAATTCCGAACCGAAATAACTCCTTGATACTGGCAAAAACGTCCTCCGGAACAAGAATACGGGTTTTCTCGCACGACGACGAGTATCTCATGTATATTCCGAGCAATATTACATTGAGCCAATCCACAATTTCCCAAGCCTGATTTAAATACCAAAACCCAACAAATAGGAACATGAAAGCCTAGTGTTACCACTGTGATAAATAACACGGGAAGAATCAAGCTCTGAGCTAGAAAAAATGGAACTTGTGATTGAAGTATGGCATAGGCAAACAATGCTGGTATGAGCCATCTTGCATATCTGCAAGCTTCCATTGCAATTTGAGGATCTTGGCCTATTAGAACTAATAGTTTGTCCATGAAAATCCAAACCAGGCATATCGGGAGACAGATTGGAAGAACGGAGATTGAAAATCCATAAGCTTGCCCACATAGAGTTTCTAAACCGCTTGAAAATCCCTACTGTATAACATGTAATACATAGGTGTCAATTAACCATGGTTCGAATCCTGCACATATACTTGTTGCAGCTATGTTACTCAAAATTATATTCGTATCGTTTATGGTGTCGAGAGGAAGAGAAGTTTACGATGAGGCTAAATCCAGTGATGTTGCAGAAAGAGGTGGCCATTGCAACACCGGAGAGTGCGAGTTCACCGAGGTGCCCCACCATCATCAATGATACGACCTGCAGAAGGTACTGTAACAGTCATTGCTGCGATGGTCACTGCCATGGAGCTCACCTTTTTAACCTCTTTCACAAGGACAGCCCTTGTTATCATCCCCCATATTCTCCCTTCACTCTTTTGCACTTGCTCTTCATCCATTCTCTTCTGATCTCGTGTTATAGTCTCCTAACTTCAAACAGCAAGTGTTTCTAAGTATTGTGGATATGCTCTAGGTTTCCATCTCCTAGCTTCTTCATCTTGGATATAGTTATTTTTAATCGGTTTAGACTCGAATAGTAAATTATTTTCAAGAAAAAAATTGTAATTTCCTTTTTTAAACTTCTGTTTTTGTTTCATGCACGTTTTAAATAGAAGTCCACGGCATATTGAATTGCCATTATTGTATAAAAGACGAATAATAATTATAATATGGCATGCAAATCATGAGATCGGATATTAAATTATCTTGAAAATATTTACGATTTCAAGGAAACAGATGTTCAAAAAAGTGTCCAGTTGAAATTACTGAACCGAAGTTTTAATTCGTGTTATTTTATAATTAAATTAATAGGTTTAGACTCGAATTGCAATTTTGTTTCCTAATCGATTTGTTGCACGTTCTAAATATTACTAAACAGAAGTTTAAAAACGAACCGCGCCTTCTTTTAGTGATGGGATTGCCTCGAGTTCTTTGAAACGTGTCCGGTTGTCTTCTGGTGATGCATCCTGCTCAACACTTCGGTGTCTGACTTTTCCCATTTTGATGTTATTCTAGACAGGATATATGAAAATTTGTATGCTGAGGTGAATTTTAAAAATTTTAAAAATTAACTAATTTATAAAATTTTAAAAGAACGAAAATAAAATTTTAATAAAAATACATTAAAAGATTATAATATATATAGTCATTTTAAATTTTTACTAGATAATTATCTCCATCCACCCTCCTTGAGTTCATCCTTGATTCTGGAGGGAATTATGGATTAACCCTTCCTACCATAATAAAAATGTTATATTGGAATTGTTAGAGCCTGGGAATCCTCGAACAGCTCACTCTTTGAAGCAATTTATTACTCGGAAAAATCTTGATATTATCTTCTTCACGTCAGATCATAATAGAAAAAGTTGATAAGTGAACTAATTATACTTTTTAAAAATTTAAATTTTCATATAATTTATATTTTTTTATTAATAATTTAATTTTATCTTTTAAAATTTATAATAATTTATCTCGTAACATAAAATCTTATATCCTATGTAAGATGTGCTTCGCGATCGCTCATTATTAAACATAAATGCCGTCATAATCTCCGATTAACTTTGTTTATCAAGACCAAATAACACTTTCATTTGTGATGCATGGAATCTGAATTGAGTTGATCGTTTCCGACTTTTGTATTCCTATACTCTAGCAGATCGGTTAAATTATTAAAACTTCAATTTCGGTGTGCGCAACTTGAGCATTGAATATGAATATAGCGTAGACTCGTTCAGCTTATAGTTAAAGTTTTTTTTAATAGATTAAGATAATTATAAGATATTATTTATTATAATTTTTTTTAATTTATTGACAACGTACATACAATTTATAGACATGACTACTTAAACTTAAAATCTTTAGGTGAAAATTTTTGTATGTTTTGATACTGAATTACATTAATGTGTAATATATTGATATACAGTAGAATGTCCCTCACTCCAAAAAGTCACCAATCCCCACTTCAAAATGTTTGATCATTCGGACTGCTACATCTTGCTGAAAATTTTAATTCACTCTTTTAAATTTAAAGATTTTTTCAAGATATGTGAAAAATGAAGAATGAGTCAAAATTTAACGTCGTCTGTTTTTCTTTTAAATTAAGACTTCATAAAATATTCATGTACAAAAATATTTTTAAATTGTATTTTTATAACAATAAAATCATTTTAATAAAAAATCAAAAGACAAAAAGGTTAGAAAGTTTTTAATGTGCCTTTGTTTTAATAAAAAATAATTTTCTTAAAATGTTTTCAAGAAAATTATCAAATGTATGAACCAAGTTACTTCATTGGTTAAAGGGACGGTTGTTATCCTTAAGTATCTTAAGTTCAAGCACCAGTAACTGGAAGGGTGTTTGTACTTTCATCGTTAAATAGTTGAGAATCTTTAGAACATATAATATCTTGATAATGAAACTAAATTAATTAAAAAATTTATCAAACATCATAAAATATTTTATACATGATCATTTAAACACAAAAAGGTAAATTAACTTCTTTTTAAAAAAATCACTTTAAAAATATTATTTTTCAAAGGTTGCTTTTAGTAAAAGTTCATTGTTAAATAGTTGAGACAGTTACAAATATATGTCACTCATATTAATAAAAAAATGTGGGATTTAAACAACTAAATCTCTTTCTAAAATTGAATTCATCTAAATACCTCAATGATTAAATGTAATGTTTTTTTTTCTACAGTTCTTTGTAAATTTTCAAACCCCCTACTATCTTTTGCTCAAACAAGAATATTTAAAAAATAAAAATATTAATAAAAATAATTGTTTTCTCAAAATTCTTTATCCAAACACAATCTTAAAAAATTTATTAAAACAAACGTTATAACTACTATTAAAACACTAGACAACAACAATGGTTTACATCAAAAGATTTAATAATTTAATTATTTATACATCACACGAGTAAAATAATTAGTATTATGTATATATGATTTATGACTTATATTATTATAGTAGATAACCATGACAATTAAATAAAACATACGGATGGTCTAACAACCATCTAGAAATGCAACATGGCATATTTAAATATAATTGTGCATACCGATATAAATGTAACAACCATCTGATGGACTTAATTGGCTAAAACCTGAAATCTAAGGGGCCAAAATGAATAAAATTAGATTTTGATGACTTAATTAGAAGGTTTTAGGAATTTAGGGAATAAATTGAAGTTTATGGTATATTTTATTCTCTCCGCTGGCGAAAGCAAGCCGAGAAGCAGTCGATGATTACGTATCCAGTGTCACTGTTGTTGCATCATCAACATCATGATTTCTCATCTCTTCTTTTTTATTTTCTTCTTCTGCATTTATATAGGCTCCACTGCCACCCAATTCCTCTAACGATCCCCACAATCAAACCACCTTGGGGTGAGTTTATTTTCACGCAAAATATCAGTAAATTTGATTGATTATTTTCTCAAAATGGGAACTAACCACCAAGTACTGCATGGTAGCTATCCATGATTATTGAGAAGCACAGTAAAGGAACCATTTTGATTACACCATCTACAATTTCCTTCTCATTACTGTATGCATATCCGAAAACATAACAGCAACAGAAGATAATTGTGCTTGCAACGACTGATTCCGCGACTGTAAGAGCCATTACTGCAACAGCAGTCAGTTGAACTGCCTGTGGATTTTCGGCTCCTAACTCGTTCGAAACTCGAGTGCTGGAAATATTATAGGATGCTGGGAAATTCAACTTGAAACATATATATAAGCATTAAATAAACTGGTAATTCAATAGAAATGATATCGGTTAAGAAACCTTGCAGCAGCACTAATCCCAAATGGTATATAGAAATGCACAGATGTGGTTGTGAAGCTGCACAATGGATGATTATCAAACTGTTAGATGCAATTTAATGGAATAGGGGAATCCTTTTTGTCTCAAACAAATAACAAAATATAATATTCGAGGTCATACCATACAGAAATAAGTGACGTTTCAAGCTTTGAATTAGGCAAATTTCCTGATAGCAATAAAAGAATCTCAAAAGATCACCATTCTAGACTGTTATTTTGTCTCCAAGCAAAGAACATGATTAGGAAATTAAACAAAGAGTGATATGTACAATCATGTTAATAAGAAAGGAAGACTAAGGTACCAAACCATTACGGTAGAAGGAATCCCGAACCAAGAGAACTCCTTGATGCTGGCGAAAACGTCCTCCGGGACAAGGATACGGGTTTTCTCTCACAATGATGAGTATCTCATGTAAATTCCGAGCAGTATCACATTGAGCCAATAGGACAAGCCAATGGCCAAAGCTTCCCCACAATTCCCCAAGCCCGATTTAAATACCAAAACCCAACAAATAGGAATATGAAAGCCTAGAGTTACCATCGTGATAAATACGACGGGAAGAATAAAGCTCTGAGCACGAAAAAATCGAACTTGTGATTGAAGTATGGAATAGGCAAACAATGCTGGTATGAGCCATGTTGCATATTTGCAAGCTACCATTGCAATTTGAGGATCTTGGCCTATTAGAACTAATAGCTTGTCCATGAAAATCCAAACCAGGCATATCGGGAGAAAGATTGGAAGAACGGAGATTATTGCGCAGTACGTGTAGCTTCCAACCTTTTGATATTCTTGTGCTCCGTAAGCTTGCCCACATAGAATTTCTAAGCCACTTGCATATCCCATCTGCTTAAAATGTAACATGTAGGTATCAATTAACCATGGTTCGAATCCTGCATATATATTTGTTGCAGTTATGTTACTCGAAATAATATTCGTATCATGTAGGATGTCGATAGGAAGAGAAGTGTACGAGGAGGCTAAAGCCGGTGACATTGCAGAGCAACACCGGAGAGCGCGAGTTCACGTAGGTGTCCGGCCATCATCAAAGATACGACCTGCAGAAGGTATTGCAACAGTGCCATTTCTGCAAATGTCACTGCCATGGAGCTTACCCTTGTAACCTCTTCCATAAAGACTGCCCTTGTTATTCCACTCCTTATTCTCCCTTCACTCTTTTGCAGCAGTTCTTCATCCATTCTTTTCTGATCTCTGTGTTCTATAGTCTTCTAATTTCAAGCAGCAGGTGTTTCCAAGTATCGCAGTCTTCTAATTTCAAGCATAAATGAACCCTACATTTGAATTAAGATAAGATAATAATTGCATTACATGTCCTCAAAGTATGATGCTCATTTTAAATTGGTCCCTAAACTTTTAAATGTTCTAATTCATCCCTAAATTATGACTATCATTCTAACTTAGTCCTCAAACTTTTGAACAGATCAATTTCATCCCCAAACTATGACCTTCATTCTAAATTATTCCCCAAATTTTTTAACATTACAATTTCATCCCAAACTATATGTATATATTAATCACATCCCTTGTTTAATAAAATCATGGTTTAAGTTAAACTATGATTGAAACTATAATTATATTTGGATAAATTTGAGGATGAAATTGAAATATTCAAAAGTTTGGGACTAATTTAGAAAATGGATCATAGTTTAGGGATAAAATTAAAATGTTAAAAAGTTAAAGACTAATTTAAAATGAAAGTCATAGTTTGAGGATAAAATTAAAATATTTAAAAGTTTAAGGACTAGTTTGAAATCAAAATTATAGTTTGAGGATATATGACGTAATTACATATAAAAATGTAAACTTTTTTTTTTCAATTTTACCTCTTTTCTACATTTTAAATCGACGTCCATGGTATTCATATAAATAAAATGGTAAAGTATATAACTAGTCACTGAACTTTTCTGATGCTTGTATTTAGGTTCCTCAACTTTTAAAACTTACAATACAATCACCAAACATTTAGTTTGTTTGCAATATAGTCCCCAACGTAACAGTCGTTTCATTTTTGTTAGGGTAAATTATATAAATGATCACTGAACTTTTCAGATGCTTGCACTTAGGTCCCCCTAACTTTTAAAACTTACAACACAATCATCAATTACATTATAAACCTCAAATTCTAAAATACTTCAATTACATACCCAACCCCAAATTCACAGTCCATTCTCAAAATCTGCGATATTAAACTAAACTTGAAGCAGCAATCCTAAACCCTCAAAACATAATGGTTCTAAAAAATTTAACCAACTATAAGTGAACAATAAGTGATTATGTTGGACCTAAAAATTCAATTCAGTTTATGAAATAGATGACTCGAAATTTTTTCGATTTTAGTTTATAAAATTTAAATAAAGTCAAATTGAATTGAATTTTTGAGTTTATGTTTAAATTTAATTATAAATATTTATCATATTATAATATTATTTTATTCTAATTCATTTAAGTTTATAAAATAGTTGACTCGAAATTTTTTTATTTGAGTTTATAAATTTAAATCAAATCGAATTGAATTTTCGAGTTTCTGTTTAAATTTAATTATAAATATTTATAATACTATAATATTATTTGATTATAATTTAAATAGTTTTTTAACCATATACAATACATATATTTCTTCATTTATTTTCATATGTGATATACATATATCATACAGAGTCAAGGGACTTAACTCAAACTTAAAAATTAATCCACTAATTACTAAAAATTTTGAGATATTCGAGTTGTATTTAACAATTTGATTTTAACTTGAAATTTTTTTAAGTCAAGTTTATGAAATTACAACTCAAAGTCAATTTGTATAAATTTTTTTTAATCAATTCAAGTCGAAAAATAATTTTTTTGAATCAAAATGAGTATTGTTCACTTATAGTTAATTAAATCTATCTTTTAAATCCTAAACCCAATATAATCACTTATTGTTATGGACCCAAAATGAACTAAATGTTATTTGATTATGTTGGGTTAATTGGTGGGGAAATATAGTATTTAGGGTTATGTTTTGAGGGTTTAGGGTTACTGCTTCAAGTTCATTTTGTCATGGTAGATTTTGAGAATGAATTATGAATTTAGGGTTGGATGTGTAATTGAATTGTTTTTTTGGAATTTGAGGTTTAGAATATAATTGAAATATTTTGGAATTTAGGGTTTAGAATGTAATTGATGATTGTGTTGCAAGTTTTAAAAGTTGGAGAATCCTAAATGCAAGTGCCTGAAAAGTTTAGTGATCATTTATATAATTTACTTTAACGGCAGTGAAATGGTTGTTATATCGGGGACCATATTGCAAACGAACTAAATGTTTGGTGACTATATTGCATGTTTTAAAAGTTAGGGGACCTAAATGCAAGCATCTAAAATGTTTAGTGACCATTTATATACTTTACCCTAAAGAAAATAGAAGTACATGGTATTGGATGCACATTAAATTACATTAACATATAATACTATGGATAATATTTGTCGGTTTCATCTTTTATTGTATGCGACAATATATGCCTTCAAATTATGATATTAAATTGTATATTTAATTTAATGTCAGATACTGAAAAAAAGAGTAAATTCTATTTTAAAAATAAAAATTATATATTATTTAGAATATGTTTATTTCATAAAAATAGATTTCGAAAAATGATTTTCATAAAATAAATTATATTTTTTGAAAAATAATTTTTAAAAATCATTTTACAGTATTTGGATTATATTGTGTAAATCATTTTCTATTGGTTAATAATTTTTTTAAATTATTTATTATAAATAAATAATAATATAATAAATAATATTATTTATTTGTAAAATTAATAATATTATTTTTAACTATTAAATAATTTATTTAATATTATTAACGTCAATATTATTATTAAAATATTATTTCTAAAATTATATATATATATATATATATATAAATATTAAGACTATTATCTTTTATTAAAATAAAAATATTTTAAATTATATTAATTATTTATTAAAATAATATTACTATATTATTAAAATAATAAATATTATTAATTATATTAATTATTCATTAAAATTAGAATATTTTATAATATTAAAAAGTATAATATTAGAATAAAAATATTATATTATATTTTGATAATTATTATTAAATATATTTTAAATATTTAATAATTTAATAATAATATATTTATGAAACTAATAAATAACATTAATTTTATTAATAATTTAATATATATATATATATATATATATATATATATTATCAAAATAAAAGTATAATATCATATATTATTATAATACAATTGAATATATTATTATAATACTGACAATATAATATTATATTATTTTTTAATAGTATAATATTATATTATTTAAATCATTAATAAATGTATTTAATGATTAATATTTTTTATAAAAGTGATAATAAAATATAATATTAATATTAAATACAAAAAAAAAATTTATTTCGAATATATATGCTTTGAAGTGAAAAGTTTAGAAAATGACTTATAAAAAATCAATCTATAAGTCATTTTTTCAAAAAATACAAAGGAAATTATGTTGATCAGAAAAAAAAATTAAATTGATCAATCTGTTTTCCACTGACCAAAACTGAAAAATAAGAAAAATATTTTTTAAAAAACCAATTACAATGAAACAAACAGAAAATTTATAAATGCTTATAATACTTTGATATTTACTCATGTCTCGCAACTTCTTTATTTTGAATTTTAGTGGATATAGTTATTTTTTTAGTCTTACATAGCTTATTGTTTAATCTAAAATGTTTAAGTGTTTGTTCGTTTAATTAATATGAGTATATAGTATTAACTTATATAAATTTATTTTGTGAAAGATCAGTGACAACCATCAAATAAAAGTTCATGTACAGTAATACTATGTATGGAACAAGTACTAAAAGCTCAAGTGGCTTATGATTTGTTGCTAGTGAAATAATGTTTTCAAAATAGATCAAATCGATTAGATTTTGTTTTACTTTATATTACCTGTTTAATCGTTTATGGTAGTAAATAACGTAAACTAAAATCGCGGCAATAAAATAATGTAAGGAGCATTTATATATGTCATATCCATTGCCACTTCGGATGAGTTCTGCTCCCAACGACAAGTGGAATTGGGATTATCATATGCAACATATAACGAGCCATTTCCCGGCAACCCAATATCTAATGAGTTAGATGGCTCAATGAATCACACATTGGGTCAACAAACAAATATGATAGGGTCGAAATAATCCAACTTGAATAAGTGATCTCTTGACCATTACACATTCAGAATATATAATGTAACTCTTTTAAAATAAATAGAGATTCTATTCAGCCTCTTCTCCTTCCTTCTTTGAAAGATATCTTTTTTTCACTTGGATCAAATCAACCAATGTTTCTCCACTCAAACCAAAAGAGATAAATTATAAATCGTCAGTAAAAATCATCCTATTTTTCAACGTCTAAACCACCTGAATTGTCACCCCACTTGTACTTTATCATTGATATGGTGAGCATGGACCAACCAACAACTAAAAGAATCATTAACGATGCAAAAACCTCAAACATGCAACTTCGCCCGTAAACTCCAAGTCAAAAGAAAATTAGATCGGTGCAAGGAAAGTAAGCTATCCTCGAACCGGATGGAGAGCCAGAAAGGAAATTGGAATGAAGATATTTTTTAGGCAAGAATCAATGAGACGTGAAAAACAGTACAAAACGTAAAATCGATATGCAACCACCGTACTGAATAGAAGATGATAGGGAATGAACAAAAAACACAGTCTAAGAAAGACACCATTTCAGAGGAGAACAAGATGAACACATGAAAATTCAGTCCAATCTAGAAAAGTGAAAGATGGATGTACGCAACCCCAACAAAAGATCAAAGAGATATGAGAAAAGACAAACAATCTCAACAACGCATCAACGAGTCATTGTACAAAGCTCCATAGATAATATAATGATAATTATGGTTAGCATGAGTATATTGTAGATGTATGTAAATAAGATAGTGTAGTAATGTGAATGTTTCATCGGAAGTAAAGGTAGACCCTCTGATCGCCAGGATGTGATCCTCGAAAAAGCAAAATTATTCAGGTAGGCAACACACTCATGACCAAAGCACCATTAGACCCATATCTTAACGCTTAACTAAAAAAATACTAAAAGTCTGATATGTATAAACACGACATATGTAATCATACTGAGATTTAGGAGGCAAGCTGTAATAATAACTAACATTTTACAAATAGGTAGTTCACCAAATTTGTGTAAAAGTTAATTGTCAATCAGCCATAATAAGTCACAGGATATCACATGATGCTTAGTACGGGAAATTTGTTCGGTCCAGGCTTAACTAGAAGCTAGATCATTAGGGGTCAACTAGTTTTTCATGTTAGCCTCGGTAAAGCAGCTCTCAGATGTGCACAAAAGACAGTTATGGTGCCTCTGGAAACTAATGATTTATACCAGACAATTTTATATTTTGATTAACTGTTCTACAGTTTCCTAAGAAGCTGTTGAATCAACAAATTAGGCGATTTGACTAAACTGACACCTTTTAACCGAAATTTTTCCTTTCTAACACCATTTGACCAATATTTTCCGAAGTAGCACCCTTTCGGCTGAGGTGACACAAAGGCGCATCATCGGGGACACGTTTTACCTAGTTTTTGATGTCTCGGATGCCACGCGTGTAAGGCACATCCCCGGGGATGCGCTTTATATGGGATCTGCTGAGTCGGATGCCACGTGGGTAAGGCGCATCCTCAGGGACGCACTTTCACCACTATGCCTCAGAAATAATAGGTACTGACATGAATAGTTCTCCGGGGGACATGAGTGACATAATAGGTCAATGATAACATATTCTCTGACAAAATAATGGAAGGCGCGCCCCCGGGAACGCGCTTTCACCACTTTGGGTACTGACATGAATAATGCCCCCGAGGGACATGAGTGACATAATAAGGTAATGATAACATGACCCCTGAGGGACATGAGTGACATATTAGGGAAATAATAACATATTCTCTGATAAAATAATGTAAGGCACGCCCCCGAGAACGCGCCTTCACATGAATAGTACCCCGGTTATAGACACTATTATATGCAACGTATTATGGACTTTCAAAACAAACTTCAGTTCACAAGCTTTCAAATTCTCAAACTCTAAATTTCTCAAAAAATCTCAATCCTCTATTCTCTGAAAATGAGTTGTCTTTCTGCTGTTGTTTTGTATGATGGAGAAATTAAGGAAGCTGAAGAGGGGGTTGTTTTTGAGTCAGATCATTATATCCCCTTAACCTTGAAGAGAAACATCACTCTTGAGGAGTTAATCACCAAAATTTCGTTAAAGATTCGTGTAGCTGGCCGGAAAAGACTATCTTCACTTCAGTATAGATTTCCTACTAAACTTTTTCCACTCACGTATACATCATTTCAGCTTTCCAACGATGATGATGTTTCTATGATGGTTGATGCTCATATGGGGAGTTCACAATCTCTTATTGAAATGTATGCCACTTTTATTGAGGTTCGTTCTTCTCGTGGTCTCTCATATTCCTCTCACTTTGGCATTGCATATCAAGTTGATAGCCCGACGCAACTGATCTGTAATGATTTCACATCATTAATGGCGGATCTAATGCCAGATGCTATGCCATCAAGTTCAATAGGAAAACATTTATCAGCAACTGCTTATGATCTCAACCCACGTGGCTTCACCAATAATCCATATGGCATCATCTCTTTTACTTCAAGGGGCAGACATTCATCTGCTAATGTTTTCGACTTGCATATGGAAATGCCATCAAGACGACAGTCTATTCATATCTCACATGATACAATGGCCTCAAGTTCAAGGGGAGGGCACGCAAGCAAGCAGGAACTTATTTGACCTCAACATTGGATTATCGGAGGAACCCTCATCTCCACCAGAAGAACCTCTTAGGGAGCCAGGTGCAGATGGTGCTGAAACGGGCTTATTCGTTGAACCTGACTCACCACAGTTTAACGTACATTCTGATGATGATGAGGATGGCGTTCCGATAAATACAACACCAGCCGAACTTCCTGCACATATGTATAGTGCTGATTAAGATGCAATGTACGAGCCTGAATTTTTGGATCTTCCTGATGTTGGCAACTATGGACTTCAGTCATCTGTCAACGACGGTGATTTACATATTGGAATGGAGTTCGCATCGAATGAGGAAGCAATGATGGCAATAAAGAGTTACAATATTTGTAACTCAGTTCAGTCCCAAGTTGATCTATCTACCACGGAGAAATATGTATGCTACTGTGTCCAACATGACAACGGATGTCAATGGATGGCCCGTGTATCACAGAGGAAGAGGAAGAACAACTTAGGGGAACTAATCAGATACAACGATCCTCATACGTGTTGTGCAAGAGGTATAAACCAGGATCACCCCAACTTGGACTCCAACATTATTTGCCAAGCAATCATGCCCATTGTGAAGCAAAGCTTTCATATAGTTGTTGCAGTGTTGATTTCTGCTATACAGTCACAATATGAGTACACTATCTCCTATAAAAAAGCTTGGTTGGCAAAACAGAATGCCATTTGCAAACTCCATGGCGAATGAGATTCCTCTTACAAGGAGCTGCCCAGTTGGTTTCATGTTGTGCAAAGACTCAATCTCGAGACAATTGTTGAGTTCGAAACTCAACATCATTACGTGAATGATCGAATGGTTCGCGATCGTTGCCAATTCTACCGTGTCTTTTGGACTTACCCTCAGTGTATTAATGCAGTCAAGTATTGTAAACCAATTGTCCAAATTGATGGTACTTTCTTGTATGGGAAATACAAGAAAGTTTTATTATTGGTTGTGGTCCAAGATAGAAACCGTAATATTCTTCATGTTGCGTTTGCTTTCGTTCAAGGAGAAGACACTAAGTCCTGGGTTTTTTTCCTTAAAAATTTACGTTTACATGTTGTCACCAGGAAACAAGTATGCATTATTTCAGACTGAGGAGTCGGGATAAAAGCAGAAATGGAGTCTTTGAGTACAATGTATAGACCTCCACATGTTCAATATCGTTATTGTGTCATATTGCTGCAAACTATTATGGAAAATACAAGAAGAACGATGAACGTCAGTTAGTCGTGCGGATGGGTATGTTACTTTTTCCCAATTTTTCTATCATTTTCATATTACTTATTTATACTTCATATTAACTATTACATATTCCTAATGGCTTAGGTTACGAACTCTTACCTTAAAGGTTTGAGTCTATACTACAAGAGTTGTTTGGCAAAAATAAGAAGGGGTGCGAGTACATTATGGACATCAGCAAAGAAATGTGGACAAATGCGTATGACGGGGGGTATCGTTATGGTCATATGACAACCAACTTGGCTGAAGCAATAAATTCAACCTTAAAGGGGCGTGCCATTTACTAGTCACGGCGTTGGTCAAAACGACTTATTTTTGTTTGGGTCAACTCTTTGCAAAGCTCGATGGACAAGCTCTTACTTGGTTGCAAAACGACCATATTTACCACCCAAGACTAGTAGCTAATTTACAGAAAAAAGTGGTTGCATCAAATAGGATGTTGGTTACAAATTTTTCTCGCACCCGTGAATTGTTTCGTGTTAACGAAATGCCACGTCCGCTGCAAGGGATTGAAGCTGACTCTTTCAGAGTTAATCTGCAAGAGAGGTGGTGCGATTGTGGTTTCTTTCAAGCACTCAAATATTCATGCTCTCATGTCCTTGCAGCTTGCTCACATTCACATTTAGACTACAAAAATTATGTTGATCTCGTATACTAACTTTCACAAATATTCAAGGTATATGAATTTGAGTTTCCGCCCATAGGAAACAAAAGAGACCCAGATGAGATTCAAACTTGGCTTACAATTGTACCAGATCCATTGCTATTGAGAGACTCATGTCGTCCAAAATCTACTAGAATACATTGTGATATGGATATTCGGGAGAAGTCAATAGAATAAAAACGATATGGGCATTGTAGAAACATCGGGCACAATAGAAAAAAATGTACAGCTCTGTTATCATCACATAACCGTTAACCCTTATGTAATTAATATTCTATTTAAATGAATGCTTTTGTTTCTAATATTTAAATGTAATTACATTTTCTATAATTTCTCAATGTATGTACACCTAACTAATTTTTTTAAAAAATTTTTATTTAAAATTATTTTATTATATTTATTTACTATAATAATTAATATTATTTATTATAACAAATTAAATATTAATTATTAAATATTAAATATTATAATAATTTCACCTTCTACGTAGAGAAAAATATTAAATTAAACAAATTAAAAGTTATAAAAAAATTTATGTATACGATGACACATTTTCTGATTGGATGATTAAATTTATTAAATTAAATTAAAAGTAAGACTAAATTGATAAAATATGTAAGTATTGAAGATTAAATGTGTAATTATACTAATTTTATTAATTTATGCATCAATATTTTCGTTAAATATTGATAACATATTACTAGATTGATAACATTTAAATAATTAAGTGATAAAATTAATAGATCGAAAATCAAAATAAAAAAATAGATATATAACCATACGTGTAATATTATAATTTCATATATTTTTCCTATAACTACAATAAGATCAAAGTTGGTTTTGATCTATTGTTCCATCCGATTAATGTCGCGTGGAATGAGTAAATATCAAAATCCCTGAAACATATAACACTAAAACCTAAATTCACTCTACCTTTAACACACATTTAAAAAATACATTCGATAATTCTTAAATTATAACCGAAACACTTTACATAATATATTAATAATTTATAATAACAATAAAAATAATATTTTTATTATTAAAAAGAATACTAGTGTGGCATCCGCCTCAGCAGATCCCATATAAAGCGCATCCCGGGGATGCGCCTTACACGCGTGGCATCCCAGACAGCAAAAACTAGGTAAAACGCGTCTCTAGGGATGCGCCTTTGTGCTACCTCAATCGAAAGAATGTTATTTCGGGAAATATTAATCAAAGGGTATTAGAAAGAGAAAATTTCGCCTAAAAGATGTTAGTTTAGTCAAATCGCCAACAAATTATACATCGATTCTCATGAAATTATGATAACAAGCAGAGGGAGCAACTCATTCTTAGAACCTTTATAGGGAAAGAAGATGGGTTGATAGCTGGGTGCTTGCCTCTTTGTTTTCCGTGTCCCCTCTGGTATTTGTCAATATTGCTATCTTGTAAAAAAAAAGTAAAATTGAATTGGATTCCACCAGGTTTGGAGGGAGAAAAATATCTTGAAGCCAGCTCCTGGTAAACGACGGTGTAACTGCAGAAATGAAATCCATCATAGGCAAATTGGTCCAGGGATGTTCCAACAGATGACCGAACAGGTACAGTGGTTTCTGGGTTTTGTTAAAAGCAGTTACTGTAATATCCATGTTTTTCTTTTTCTTTCTTGTTACCTGGGGTCTTCTTTGCTGTCAGAATTGTCATGTCGTATGTCACTATGATTAAGCTTTTATGACCATTCTCCATTTTTTTCCTCAGGTTTGCGAGGAATGCCAAAATGTCAAATATGAACGAGAAGGGTATATAGTCACGGTTGATATTGAGAAAGGAATGCAAGATGGACATACAAGTTTGTAGAATTAGAAGAAAAAAAATTCTTTTGTGATTTTATCAAGGTGCATTCTTGATCTCTTAAAACGTCAGTGATATGCTATCAGAAATAATAATTCAGTACCAGGGTGTTCCTGACTTTTTGGCCTGCTTTATTGTTCAGCGTTACATCAAAATAACAGACAGAGGAATGCACTAAAGTAAATTGTTTCGAGGATTCTTTGTTGTCGTTCGTAAATGGAATGCTTTTCTTTACAGACTTATACATTTGACAATTTTGTTAGCATTTCTTATTGTATAACATCTACAGGATGTTGTAATCTTCATCATCTTGTAGTAGTATTTCTAGTCTATACCAGGAGTAGAACAGTAAGCTAGTGCTTATTGTTGTTGGATTTAAAATAATATTCACTGTGCATTTTACAGGAGGTTGTTTTTTATGATGACGGCGAGCCTATAATAGATGGAGAACCTGGAGATTTGAAGGTTAGTCTTTAAAAACAGTGAATTCAAAAATTTCCGGTCCTGAATAGCCTAGTTATTGTGAAGTCTATCATGCCCACCCTAAAATCCTACCAGAACTTGAAGATTGCCAATTCTTGCTCGCATAACAATCACATTTCCTGCAGTTCCGCATTCGCACAGCACCCCATGACCGATTTAGGAGGGAAGGCAATAAGTTACACACCACTGTCACCATAACACTAGTCTCATTTTGTATTAATATTTGTGTCTATATCTGAATCCGTCTCAACAATCCTTCTTTACCGTTTGGAACTAATTATCGGTCCTCGACCTGCCCCAGGTTCAAGCTCTTGTTGGTTTTGAGAAGGCCATTAAGCACCTTGATGAACATTTAGTGGACATTGGATCTAAGGTAAGCATCAGAACCAACAGCTAAAATGATCCCAAAATTAGAAATAAACTTTAAAATACGAGGTAATGAATTGCATTGCATGTACTCAGGGAATTACTAAGCCGAAGGAGGTGAGAAAGGTCAAAGGAGAAGGGATGCCATTGCATTTCAACAACAAGAAAGGAGACCTGTATGTCACTTTTGAGGTCTTGTTTCCCTCGAAGCTCACGGAGGACCAGAAGGTCGAAATCAAGGCGGTTCTCCGCTAGGAATTGATGGTACGAACATATATATATATATTATTGGGTCCTAATGATGTTCTCATTGTAAGATGATGAGATTACATAGAAACTAGGAATATCTGGAGGGTTTCTAATTTTGCTAGTCTCCTGTTTTTTTTTTTTTTACCTACTATTCCCTCCATGAACAATTTAGGTTGCAATATCTGAATGTCTTTCCTCTGTAACAAGTTTTAAGTGTCCAACAATTTGGAGAGGCTTGTTTAGCATAATATTCCCTTTTGAAGATCGAATTACATTGTTACAAAACTACTTAATTTTATAAATCTTATTAACTTTAGCATATGATTAACAAACAAATAATATTATCATATTTCCCAAAAATGTTTGTGTTCATAATTGTTTTGTAAATTGGATCTATAAAGGAATTAATGGAACAAACAGGCAGAAGAAAATACCATAATATGGCTCATAACTCATAACCATCGTTAGGGTAGAGTCAGAATTAGATTGTTATGTTAAAATTTAGAAAATTAATGCAGAATAGTTGAGTGACCAAAACGAAATAAAAATAGTATTTGAGATACTAAATGTGTAATTTACCCTAAATAAATCTAGCGGGATGTCAGAAGGTGTCATCCGTGGATAAACAAAACCAGAGAAAAGAAAAAAACTAACCAGATAAGAGAGATAAAAGAATTAAAAAAAACTTTGTTAGCTTCTCCCTCAATTTTGATTTTCCCTCACCGTACTCACAAGTAATACTATTTAGCGCCAATGTAGAGATAAGATTAAAAAAAACAACTATTTTATTGTAAAATAAGTATTTTTAATTTTGATGTTCTAAATAATTTTAACAGTATGGGAAACAATGAAGATTTATTTCTATACAAGTAGCGGTAGATATAGCATACAAAAAATTTATCGACAATTGTCACTAAAAAATTGCAAAGAAAATGAAACAGAGATTCTTCTTCTGCCCTTTTGCAATCAACAGCTGAGTGCCTCGTATTTCAATTGAAATGGACGATTGAACCCCACTTGTGACAATAGGTTCCCAACTGCAGCCAGATCCCTGCAAAATACACCTTGGAACACGTTCGTGTTCGAACTAATTGGGGTGCTCCTGTTTTCACTCCCATTCAAACTTGTTGAAGAACCCAGACATGTTTAAGGTTCCGATTTAGAGTTACAATAATGGGTTTGCTTCACTTGAATTGCCGCAGCTTTCTTCCTTTTCTTCTCGGCTGCTTCTTCATCCATGATCGTACACATAACGCTGGAATAACTCTTTTGAAGCAATCTGTAAAGGATTGATTGGTTTAAAAATATGTGCCTTAACCACATTTCACCTTTCACGTGCCGCACATCTCGAACAATTTTAATTGTTCCATCATACATCTTCAATTTGATGGTTCTCACGCCAACGATCTCTAAGGCATGATCATTGCAACTATACACAGATCCTCCTGAGACAGGTTCATAATGATTGAATCATTCTCTTCTTGAGGTCATGTGATATGTTACTCCCGAATCAATGAGCCATATATCTGCAAATCGTTTTCTTCCTTCCACGGTGGTTGACGCTTCACAGCATAGAGCATCTCCATCATCTGAAGTGTTTGCGGTATTGCCTTGTGGATTGGAGTTTTTATTTAGACTCCAACAATCCTTCTTCAAGTGACCCTTCTTTCCACAGCTGTAACACTTTAAATTCTTCTTGCTTCTCGACTTCGATCTACCATGTTTGTGACTGATGCTTTGGCCACGTTCTGTTGATCTCCCTCTCATCGTTGTCATCGTTGTCAACACTTCTGCTTGTTGCAGATTTACTTGTTTGTCTTCCTTATTCTTGCGCCGATTTTCTTCTTGTAGAACAACAATTGCAACGTCATCGAAGACTAGACTGGTGACATTACTGTTTGTCAAGTTGATGATGAGTTGATCATATGAATCCGGTAGACTTTGAAGTAGAAGTTCAGCACGTTCTTGTTCTCCTATTTTACAGCTTAAGGATGTAAGCTGAAAAAAATAAAGTGTTCAGTGTATTTAAGTGCTCCGTCACTGAAGTAGATTCTGGCATATGGAGAGTGTACAATTTTCTCTAAAGGAAAATTTTATTGTGCAGCGATGTGGCCTCGTACAGTTTGGTGAGATGATCCCATATCTCCTTAGTTGTCTTCTTCTCCTCGATACTTGACAATACTTCATCTGCTAATGCTAGATGAAAGTTTGCCATAGCATTTCCGTCCATTTCGATCTATTTGTTGTCGTCTGTGAAATCTACTGGCCTTTCGCTGATAGCTGCTAGACAACCTTCTTTCCTCGGGATGTCCTTCATCTTCAATTTACACAATGAGAAATTTCTCCCATTGCACTTTTCAATATCAAATTTTGTTGTCATTGCTTCGTTTACGGATAGCTCCCACTATTTCACTATCATGAATAATTCTCTGGAACCTTCAAAGAATGGGTAATAACTTCTTACTTTCTTATGTTGGAGGATCCACCTTTTGGTGGCAACCACAAAGACAATAAGCAGATATTACACACTCTAATCTAGCTCGGATACCAATAGTTGCGGAAGACGGCTATCGGATAAAGCAAAAATGCAACTGATAATTTGAGAAAATAAAAATGAAGATAAAGAAGACACAAAATTTACGTGAAAAATCCCTAAATAAAATAGGGTAAAAACCACGGGCAACGGTAGAAGAATTTCACTACGAGAAAAATAGGAATTACAATCTCTCTCGATCTACTAAGGAAAAAACAATGATAATTCTCTCTTGATAAAAAGAAGAAAACAACTCTCAAGAAACTCTCTAAATTCTCTCTAGTATTGGAAGAAAGCTAGAATGCTTTGGGATAATTTTGAAGCTAAATGAGCTAGGGTATTTATAGTTGAATCTTTAAGGACTAATTTATAAATACCCTAAAGTACAATGACTAAAATTGAGCTTTTATCATTGTCAAAAAATCAACAAAAAAACAACCCATTTTTTGGTGCATTTAATTATTTGCACTTTCGATGGAAATGTGCAGCCAATTTGGACTTTGGAATTTCAACAGTTTTAAGTGTTCAAAGTTGTGTAAACAGTCCGGTAAACAACGGATGGTTTCCAAAAGGGAGGCTCTGGTGTCGAGCGCTTCGATGCATGTCGGGTCAAGAGCGAGGGTTTTGTTACAATCAGAGATGGACTCAGTTATGCGACCCGAGGCCTTGTAAGTGTATTCTCGATGCATGTAACACTCGACAAGGAAGCCTTGAGGGGCACGGCGGTGACCGTCTATGATTTTCGAGAAATGGCGGATGGTTTCGGAGTATAGGCCGGCATCCAAGGTGGCCATGGCGGCGGTTCTACGGCGGATGAGGAGCTTGATGTGGGAGAGAAGCTGGGAAATGTTTTCTAATTCGGAGGGAGAAGTGGGGTTCTGTGGAGGCGTTGTGGCGGCGGCAGATATGTCTGATGATGGTTTCATAGCGGATTGGAGGGAGAAGCTATCGTCAGACCAACAAATGCTTTCACAGCAGAATGCGGCGGAAGCCAGGCGCCTCCCCGTTTGGAGGAGAACCATGGCATCCTCCATGAATCCTATATGGTAACATGCTTGGCCTAGCATGCACCAAATACCTCTATTTCCCTTCTTTCTTGTTGTTCTTCCACCACCCGACCATGAGTTTCTTCTTTAAAATCGAAACAGAGAAGCATTTAAAAGATGGGTCGGGACTCGGGACTATATGAGTCCGAGGATGAGTCACTAGAAGGAAGAAGCATGACTCCCTCCCTCGAGAGATGTTGAGACGAGTTATCAGAGGAAACCGAGACAGAGTCGTCGATTGACATTTTCAGACTCGGAATATAATCCTGAAGCATATCAACAACATCCCTAAAATGCCTAAGATACAACAACGATCTGGCTTTGAGTTCAAGAGCAATCTCGAAACTAGGCGAAAGTGCCAAAGCGGCGTCAAGAAGATTGAGAGCTGAAGCAATCTCGTCTTCTCCTTGCGTCGCAACGAGGCGCTTTGCATCTTTAATGTACTTATCTACAAGCTGCATAAAAACCCCATTTCACAACCTTTTTTTAGATATAAAAAATGAAACTTTGGTTTGAAGACATGATCAAAGTTGAAGGCTTTCAAAAGTATTTTACCTTTCTTTTGGTGAGCCACCAGTGTTTCTTCTGATCATTACCGCTCAAACATGGAGAAACAGCCATGGGTTGTGTTTTTTAAAGGCTATTATCCTTGTTGAGGAAGAAACAAAATCAATCAATCATGAACCTTCCTTCTCTTTTTGCTTTCTTGCTCTTAAATCATAGACATTTATATATATAGAAAGAGAGAGAAAGGGAAATGAATTGGGGTGGGGGAATAGAGTATGTGAGGAAAATGGAGGAAAGTGTTGGTTTTAAATGATAAGTTGATACAAAGAGTAGTAAATAAGGGAAGGCTGGGGAGAAAACAAACAACAGCCTTGAGTGAAGAAAAAATAAATAATGGTACTAGTTTGATTATACGGTAATATATGTTTAAAAAAATTAATTATAGACAAGTACACATTTTTTATAAATTGATACAAGAAACTAACCACTTGAGCAATCATAGTTTTATTAAGAATAGAAAATATACATAATTACAATGAAAGTTTATAATCATAATTATAAATTAAATAATTAAGACATTTTTTATAATTATTGATACAAGAAACTAACCACTCAATGACCATTTAAGGAAAAAGTTAAAAATTAAACAAAAACTTGAACAAAAGATAGAAACGAACATATCTGACTACATAGACAAATGAGAGATCAATCTATTGAAAGACTACCGAAAAAACGTAAATCATAGTCGATGGACGTGAGAAAATTATCCACAAACATAAATAGGGTATCTAAATCCAATTCGAGGGTCCAAAGAAAGGAAGATCAACATGATAGCAAATAAGTACTTTCTTAATCAATTGAGATGATGTCAAATTCAATCATGTGACAAAGATAAACAAAAATAATGTAACAACCCGACAAATTTTTTTTTAAATAAGTGTAATTTAGTGAAATTTAGTGACTAAATTAAAATTTATGAAAATTTATAGGTCACATTAGAAGTGAAGGAAATTCAGGGACCAAACCCTGAATTACTCCTTTTAGTGTCGGCAGGAAAGTTGATATATACGAATGAATGATTTTCTGTTTTCAAAACAGAAAACACTCTACTTTAAAGCCCGATTCCGACGCCGTCCGACCTCCGATTGTCAAATTAAAACCACCATTTCATCTTCGACCCGTGATCAAAATCCAGTAAACCAATTATAGCGAAACGCTGCCAAACGACGTGAATTTCGAGTCAAAGTCTCGATGTTTTTTTAGCACCACCGCCGGGAAAATCTTAAATTCATTTCCGATCGTTGATCGGTTTTCGACACCTCCCGCACTATCGTGTTCTTGGTGTCGTTCCGAGTCTGACGGTGTCCTCCTTGTCTCCGTGGGCGGCGGCGCGTGAGGGAGGTGGAGCGGTCAAAGTTCCGATCGAAGTGAAATCGAGCTCTCCACCGTTAAAAAATTTGAACCGAGGTTGGTAAGTGACCCAAAATCGTTAAAAAGAATTTTTGGAAATTTTTGCAGGAATTTTTGGAGGCCAGAGGCAATCTCACGCGCCGCCCCTGCGCGTGGGGAAGATTCGAACTGGGTGTTAATTGGTTGACCGGCTTGACCGGTCCAAACCGGTCTGAACCGGTTTGACCGATCCGAACCGGTCTGACCCGACCCGTTGACCGACCCGAACCGTTGACCCGACCCAATGCCATTTTTGGAATTATTTTGAAAATCATGACATTTTGGGAAATATTTTGAAAATGGTGACATTTTGGGAAATATTTTGAAAAAAGTGACATTTTGGGAATTATTTTGAAAAGGTGACATTCTGAGAATTATTTTGAAAAAGGTGACATTTTTGAAATTTTTGAATGTGGACTATTGACCCCTTTGACCATAACTTTGACCGGCTTTAAATGGCCATTAAACGACCTTTGATTTTGTTCGAGTATACCTATTCTGATATTTTTCGACGTGCCGAATCCGTTTCCGAAGTCCGTTTTGCCAAATTCGAACCCGAAGGCCTCCAAATCATCCGTTAAACCCGTTGACTTTGATTTTAACCAAGATTTTTAATTTTCGAAAAGCCATACTTTATGTTTTTCGACGTCCTGATTCCGATTCCGAAATCCGTTTGGTCAAATTCAGACTCGAAATCCTCTAAATTGATAGTCAAATCTGGAAAATGCTTATATACTTAAGAATTTTAGCTTTGATCAATTAAGTAAGACTTGGAGTTGATAAATTATTATTGTTTGAAGGTACAAGAGACTCTCCGGATCGTTTGACAGCTCGACCCATCTCTTCTAGATCAGTTAAACCACGTGTGCCAGAATTCACCCGTAAGACCCATAAATTTTATGATTTTAGAGATTAATTATTTTACCCATTAGTAATATAGTGTTATTATAAATTAGGTTCGAAAACTGTAGCAGAGCGTGGTGAGACCAGCAATCAATAGATCTATTATTTGAACTTATTATCGAGGTGTGTTCCCTATTTATTACTGAACAGTTGATTCAAGGAGCGGTCAGAGCTACTGGTGCTGGATCTGAGGTGCCTATTTCTCAAACTCTTATCGCCAATGGGGTCAGGACTTTTGGAGGACAACTTGGAGGAATTCCTACTGAAGCAGAAGATTAGCTTCAAGATACAGAAAGACGCATGGATCAGTTGGATTTAGACCCAACTAAAAGATATTTGGGGGCAGTAGCGATGTTAAATGGCAATGCCCACACCTGGTGGGAGTCAGTGATCAGTAGTGTTCCTACCGATCGTTTGACATGGGATTTCTTTAAGGAGCGCTTTCAGAGCCGATTCCTGGGGGAGCGTTACTTAGTCCAGAGACGACAGTAGTTTCAGGACTTGGTTCATGGTGATATGACTGTTTCAGAGTATGAGATAGAGTTCTTAAAATTGTTAAAGTATGGACTCAGTCTGGTGCCTAACGAGAGAGATCGATGCCGTAAATTTTCCCTCGGACTCAGATACGAGCTACGTAGGCAGGTGGTAGCCCTTCAAGATGAGATTTTTGATGTGCTGGTGAGCAGAACCAAGGATGCTGAGGAGATGGAGGCTTTAGCTTCTAGTAGAGAGCTTGTTGATCAGGAGCGATCTAGGAAACCTTTTGGCCCTACTGAATCATCCGCACAGTCTGGTAAGAGGACTCGTACTTCAGCCCCTCAGGGGAGCAATACACGCTTCAGGCCTGCAGCATCATCACCTTCAGCTATTAGTAGAGGTGGTTCTTCGGTTCCGTTTCAAGTACCTCATTGTTACTTTTGTGATAAACGGCACACGGGAGAGTGTTATAGGAAGACCAGAGCATGTTTTCATTGTGGATCTAGTGGTCATTTTCGGAGGGATTGTCCTCAACTAGCTTCGTCTGAGCAGACCGCTACCCAGACTCCTTTGCGTTCACAGACTACAGTACATACACCAATTAGATGTCATAGCCAAGTAAAGGCTCGTGGTTCAGCGTCCAAGATAGACAGTAGAGCCCGACCTCAGCAGAATAGAGGGCCAACAGTTTCTGAGGCTAGACAACCAGCTTTGGGTTACGCCACTAGACGTCGGGATGACAGAGATGAGCCTGAGGTTATTGCAGGTACATTTACTATTTATTTTATTCCATACTTTGCATTATTGGACAATGGCTCCACCCACTCTTATGTATCGAGCTCAGTATCTCGAAACCTTCAGATTCCAATCGAGAACACTGATAATATTGTTACGGTTACGAGTCCAGTAGGACATGCAGTATTAGTGAATAAAGTATTTCGGCGTTGTCCTCTGGAGGTTCAGGGAGAAATTTTTCTCGTTGATCTTATGGAGCTTCCTTTAGAGGAGTTCGATCTAATTCTTGGGATGGATTAGTTGAATAAACACAAGGTAAATCTGGATTGCGAATACAAGCGAATTACTCTGAAGACTTCAGATGGTCGGACTGTTGTGTTAATTGGTGACCGGCGTGACTATCTCTCCAATATTGTTTCAGCTATGGAAATTGATCGTATGATCAGGAATGGGTATGAGACTTTCATTGCCTGTATTTTGAACACTAAAGGTTCCTTGTCCACAATCGAGGAAATTTGTATAGTTAGAGAGTTTCCTGATGTTTTTCCGGAGGAGTTGCCTGGGTTACCTCCTGATATAGAGGTAGAGTTCTAGATTGAGACTTATCCGGGATCTTCACCTATTTCTATGACACCATATCGCATGGCTCCAAAGGAACTTAAGGAGTTAAAGGTCCAATTACAATAATTATTCGATCGAGGATTTATTCGGCATAGTACCTCACCCTGGGGAGCTCCAGTTTTGTTTGTGAAAAATAAGGATGGGTTGCTAAGGCTATGTATTGACTATCGGAAGTTGAACAATATGACGGTCAAGAATAAATACCCATTACCCAGGATTGGCGACTTATTTGATCAGTTGCGATGAGCTACTGTATTCTTTAAGATTGATCTTCGTTCGGGGTATTATCAATTGAAAGTTAAGGGGTCCGATGTTGCAAAAATAGCCATTCGCACTAGATATGGTCATTATGAATTCTTAGTAATGCCTTTTTGTTTGACGAACGCTCCCGCAACTTTTATGGATTTGATGAATCGTGTGTTCCGGCCATATTTGGATCAATTCGTGGTTGTCTTTATTGATGATATTCTGGTATATTCTCGGACGGAAGCAGAGCATGACGAGCATTTGAAGATCGTTCTGCGAACCTTGAGATAGCATCGTCTATATGCCAAACTAAGCAAGTGTGAGTTTTGGCTTCAAGAAGTGTAATTTTGGGGGCACGTTATTTCTGTACGAGGTATTCAGGTCGATCCAAGTAAGATCGAGGCTATTGTGAATTGGAAACGATCCAAGAATGTCTATGAGATCCGTAGTTTCTTGAGCTTGGTTGGATATTATCGATGTTTTGTCGAGGGTTTCTCGATCATTGCTGCTCATTTGACAAAGCTGTTAAGGAAGAATGTGTCGTTTGATTGGGGCGAGGCACAACAGGAGAGCTTTGAGAAATTAAAGGCGGTTTTGACTCAAGCACCAGTGTTGATTCAACCAGAGTCAGGGAAGGATTTTACAGTGTATAGTGATGCTTCACATTCAGGACTTGGTTGTGTTCTAATGCAGGAAAGTAAGGTGGTGGCTTATGCATCACGTCAACTGCGACCGCATGAGTGTAATTATCCTACTCATGATTTGGAGTTAGCAGCAGTAATTTTTGCCTTAAAGATTTGGAGACACTATAT